CTTTTTTCCCCTTTCCTGATGCCTTTCTTATACCTTATTTTTGCAACTGTTCTTCTAAGATTACAAACCTGTAATCACTTTAATTCTTCTCTTTGGGTCCTCAGTCTCTCTTTTGACTTTGTTTCCTAATTTTCTTTCTTACCTTCAGCTGCTCCTTCATTCTTTCTTCCCTGTTTTTCTCTGTCCTCCTTCTTTTCTATTTATCTCTTCACATCTCCCACTTCATTTTCTCCCAGACTTTCAATAATGCTCTCTGGCCTTCAGCCTGCAAGTTTTCCTTTGTTGGAAATCCTACCCACCTCTTCTTTTGTAATCTAAAACTTCTTCCTTCATATAGTATACAGTTCCAAATGTATTCTCTTACCAAATAATACAGAGTATATCACAGATAATAAGATAATTTATTAAATTGTTCCTAGTCTTAAATAAATCATCACAAATGTGCAAATCCATGACTTCACAGAAGTGGCTAATTATGCAGTTATGTAGCAGCTCTACAAGTCCTATAAATGGTTCCATAATCCAGTTCGGGTTTTTTTTCTAGTGAGGATGTCATGTTTTACAAGTCATGCAAAATGTATGAAAATTTCTGTTTATTTTTTTAATTCTAGTTTAATCCAAACTATTCGTATTACACTAATTAACCTGAAGAAAGCCATTAAAGGACTGGTTATTATGGATGATGAACTGGAGGCTCTGTCTGGCAGTCTACTTATTGGAAAAGTTCCTGAGAAGTGGGCAAAACATTCATACCCAAGTCTAAAACCATTAGGGAGCTATATTCTAGATTTTCTAGAAAGGCTGAAGTTTTTACAGGTAAGGTAAAGAAGCAGTACTACCAGTTACTTAATCTGGTTTTTAATCTAATTTGTCCTTTACGTTAAAGGAGTGTTGGGAAAGGAGTGATAGACTTGACTTAGATTTTCTGAGTAATGTAGAAAATGGTCAAACAATATAGGATTTGTCTCTTTCAGATTATTGAATGTGTCATTTTCCTCTTTCCAGGATTGGTATGAATTAGGGAAGCCCACAGTTTTTTGGCTGTCAGGATTCTATTTTACTCAAGCTTTCTTAACTGGAGCTATGCAAAACTATGCTAGGAAGCACAGGATCCCTATTGACCTTCTTGGATATGAATTTCAGGTAGAAATAAATTACAAATGCATATTTTATTAATCTGAGTACTGATGTCGTGATGAGATGTAGTAAATAAACCCTGACTGGAAGGTTCATTTTGCAACTAACTCATTGCAATTTGAAGACAACCAAAAATTAAATGTATATGTAGGCTTGTTAAATAACATACATAAAAGAGGTATATTAAAAGTTCTATCATTGGACCTGGACCTCCACTCAGGAAAACAGCCTATAGAGTACATGTTTATGTGGTTAAAGTCTTATTTTATAACCTACAATAAAGGTAATTAACAAACCCACAGAAATCTGCTCTCTTTATAGTTTTGTATAAAACTAGTACTAGAAGGAAGGTATTGATATATTATTCACATTTTGGATTATCTTCAGAAAATTGGCTGTTGGCATAGTACTTCAAAAGCTGTGAACATTTAATAACATGGAACACTTATTTCTTGTAGGTTATTCCTCAGGATACTGCTGATACTGCACCAGAAGATGGTGTTTATATCCACGGATTATTTTTAGATGGAGCTCGCTGGGACAGGACCAGGTCAGTAACAAAGTGTTTTACTGTGGTTCTGGAAAGCTTTTGTAGGTGCTCAGACAAGATTTGTATAAATATTTTAAGTGATACTTTCCATATTGTTAAAATAACACACCAAATGCAATCCTCTTTCATGCATGGAAAATGGGGAAGAAAAAAAAACCCAAACAAGCAAGCAATAACCAAAAAACACACACCAAACCCCTCTTTGGTTTAACACCAATCCACAGATAATTACTTTGTGGCTTTCTCTCACCAGGGGAATATTAGCTGAGCAGTATCCCAAAGTGCTCTTTGATATGATGCCAATCATTTGGATAAAGCCGAGTGAGTATAATTTCTCTGCAGTGTGAGCTGTTCAACAAAAGGTTGCAACAATGATTTTATTTTTTACAAAAAAATCAGTACTTTTACCCTCACCAAAGTACCCAAATGTGCACAGAATGTATGTGCATCCGACCTGTGCCTTTCACATTAAATACTGAGCCTCGCAGCTTGACTCCATCTCATCTCATCTGACCAATAGGTGTGTCCCTCTCCCCACGGATGTTTTTGATCATGGATTAGATGAAAGGACTAGTGAAATTAATTTTTTATAAATATGTTTAGGTGCAGCCCAATCTATTTTTTAACCAAAAGTTAATTTGAGTAGGAGAAACATGGTGCTTGAATTTCTGGCTCTACTCAAGTTGAGGAGAACTTTTAATTGACTTACAGACACTCAAGTGTTTGACATCACACAATTTAGCAAGGTTTGCTCCCGTTATTTTTAGCTGCTATGCTAGTTGTCTATCAGACTAGTAAGATATTTTCCATAACTCTTGGGGTTTTTGTTCAGGAGCAGTAAATCCCTGTTTTTATTTATTCACTTAAGCGGGACTTTGTCCTGCAACTGTTGCAACTTAGATGTTATTAGCTAATAGGGAGTCTGACAAAGTTACAACTTTTTCTGCCTGTGCTTTCTTTGAGGTTGGAGGAATCTGTTCAGGCATGCATTATTTTAGACTTTGCACGAATTTCATGTAAGCAGCCTAGGCAGTTCCTGCAGAGTTGGATCTCAGGTGACTTGAATTGCAGTTAGGTTCTGTGGCTGCTGGACCAGAATTCTTGCAGAACTGTTAAAAGTTCATGTATAAACTATGCTTTAACTATGTAATTATTCAGATTTTAATGTGTCTTTGAATGATTACAAATCTGGTAGAACCACAGAAAAGCATCAAGTCCTGAAAACAAATTTTAGTTAAATTCGTTGGGTTAAAAAACAAAACAAGCCACACAAGAAAACACACAAAAAAGCCAGATAATTTTATTACGTTACTCAAAACAATTTCGCATTTTTATTTAGCTTTAAGGATGTTACTGTAAAGACTTAATATTTGTATGTAGATTGTGTTTCTATCAATAGATCTGCTGAATGTAATAAAATATTTTGGGGTTTTTTTTGAAGCTACAAAATCAGACATAAAGAAATCTAATGCATATGTTTGCCCACTCTACAAGACAAGCGAGCGTAAAGGAGTTTTATCTACTACCGGACTTTCTACTAACTTCGTCATTGCGTTGACTCTTAACACGGATAAACCTGTTCAACACTGGATCAAGCGAGGTGTTGCATTGCTCTGCCAGCTGGATGACTAACTTCGGACAGCTCAGATACAGACTTCACAAGTTCTTTTTGTTGGCTTACAGAGGAAGTGAAATATACTCTGTAAAAGAAACATCTGGACTTTTTAATATTAAAAGAGGGCAATGCAAATATTCTCTGATGCTCAATGTTTTGTCTTAAGTATGTCTTACTATTAGCATATTTACAATTTATAAAAGATATAGCTGGGTTTTAGCCTTTGGTAATATTTTTGATGTGTAAACATCAATTTTATGCATTACTTGAATATCACAAAATATATCTTAATGGAAAATTAAAGTAGTGTGCATTGAGAGAAACATTATGGTTAATGAACCTGGAGCATTAAGAGTACTGACTCATGTGAGTGGAAAGCTGGTAGGTAGTAAGTTTTGGGATTTCAGTCTGGGTTTATATATAGTCTGTGTTCTGTCATAGCAACAGTGAAGACTGCAGTATGAGAAATCATTTAACTAACTATAGTAGGTACTTCTGATGCCTGTCTTCCTCTGAAAATTCATTTTTTCAATATTCACATATTCTGATTTTTGTAAGGTATTATTTTCAAATAGTTTCCATGAAGAATAAATTATAAAATCTCCCTTACCTGCCATACATTATCTGTTTCCCTATTGCTCCAGAGAGGCAGTCCAGTTTCAATTCTTTCACTGATTCTGCACTTTTGTTTTCTTTAAAAAAAAAAAAAACAAACAAAAAACACCTAAAATAAAAATAATTACTCAGACATTCTTCCTAGATCTCTTCTAGCAAAGAAGTCTTTCTGCCTTGCATTCAGACACAGCCATCATCATTGCTTTGTACGGATCCCTCCATAAAATACGGTAGGAGTAAATTAAGCACATGAAAGTCTCATTCTATCCTACCATCGCTATTGTAACTAGGCATCTATGTCCTTCATTTCCCTACTTACTGTATGTTACACCAGCATAAGTTTTCAGCATAGGTGTCTGACTTAAAGACTGTATATTACATTTTGTTTGCTTTTCTATTTATATTAATATGTGAATTGTGATTAAGCAATCAGAAACACATCATAATTTTTAATACAGTTCTTGCTTGATTTTATTTACTTGTTTATGTTTACTTCTATTGATTTTAGTTTTTCTTTTTACACTGTCTCTTTTAAGTAAGCTCCTAACAGTATCTTCAGTTTACTTTCTTAAAGCACTAAAAAATTTTCTTTCCATAATATTACTAATTCTAACTCTCAAATTCTCATTAAAAAAAACTTTTAACAAGAGTATTTTTACAAAGAATCTTGACTTTTAATTCCTCTTTTGCTGACACCATTTGTCAGATCAGATTATTAAACATAACTAACCTATATGAAAGAAACATGGAGAAAGTCCCAGAGTATCTTATGATCGGGTATTTATAGTGAGCTATTAATGGACATAGGCTCTACTGAGATCATTTTCAATCCTGAAAATATCACTTTCAACTTAATAATCACTTCTTCAAAGTGTGAGGTCTCCCCTCTTTCAGAAGGTGAGAAAAACCTGTATATTTTCTCAATTCATAGGAAAATTAGTAGTACTTTTACAAAAAAGATACAGTCTAGGTGTAAGTGTTTATAGACTCATTGTACTATAGGTATAACTGACTAACCTTTACTTGTCTGTGTGGTTTTTTAATATATTTCTCTTTTTTGCTACATGTGCAATTACAGAGCAAGGCCTTGCAATCACTCATTAGGTGGATCAGGTAACAAATCAAATTATGCAGGTTTGCTATGAATTACTGCTGTTCAACTTTAAGATGTTTCTAGAATTATTCCAAACTTTGTAAGTGGCATGTTGACAACTTCCTGCATTTTGCTGTACGTGTTCATTTTGCAAATTTATTTACTTACTTTCAGTTTTACTTACTAATTTTATTTTTCTTTGCCCTGTATTTTTTGTTGTTTTTTTTAGGCCAACTCTCTTGAAAGACAGAAGTGGATGTTTTGTTAAGGTAAAACAGATGAGAAGTTTGAGCCTAACAGAACATCTGTGATTTTAATCTATAATAGCATGTAACTGAATGTACAAAATAACAGTATGACTGCTTATGTATATAACAGTGTACATCTACACACATCATTCTATTTAATGATTGATTTAATTGTTAATAGTTTTTTATGATTTCTTCTTGAATTTTAACAGTTATTCTTAGACAGACAGTATCAATGGTATTTATTTCTATGCTCCATTGTTTGTATTACAATCATATTATAAAAAGGTAAAAATATTTTTTTATTGAACCCTTTCAATTTGGCAAACTTTTTTTTTTAAACTAATGCTATTCTTAAGTGCCTTTTTAAAAAAAAAAAAATATTAACTCCATTGTGGTTATGCTAGTGTGTTTTATTTCTACCTGTATTTGGATATATATATAGTTGCAGTATTTTATATACATCCTTTACAAGTATTAGAAAAAAACAGGCATGCATTGATGAAGAATGCAGAATTGTAAGTTTATCTGTTGTAGATGGCTGTAAACTACGTACATAAGATGGAAAATTTGGTATGCTTTCCAAGCATTGAGTTTGATGTTGTTTCAGTTAGAAGTCTGATGCACCTAATAGCACAAATCTTTCCTGACTACAGGATATGGCCCTAATGCTATGTTCACTGAAGCAGTTTGGACAAAAGCTATTATTAAAAGATTTCATGTCCTTCACTTGCCCTTCACTTCCAGGCCCCCTGTGAACAAACTGAAAAAATATCCAGAGTCTTACTGAACATCTGTTGTCCTACTAATGAAACATCAAAGCACAATTTTCATGATATTTGAGTGTCTAAAAGACATAAGAGGGAATGACTGTTTAACTAAAAATAAGTTTTACTTATGTTTGTTTCTTTCTAAAAAGTAATGCCAGAAGTAGCTATTCTGTATGTTCAGCCTGTGAAACAGAGATAAAAGCTAGCGCATGCTATTGGAATAGAAAACATTTACTATGAAATAGAATAACTCTTTGCAGCGCAAACTTAAGTACTTGGGAGAAGGCTGGAGCTTGAGATTGAAAAGTTCCAATTCTTTTATTATAAACTGTTTCATTTCTCTCGATACTTTAACAGCAATTGCTATTTCTATTGCTCCAGACTTAACCTGAAGATTTAACATCTGCTTTCAATTAAAAAGCAGTGACTCTATGAGAAGTGATCCAGGTGGTGCTGATTTGCCATGTATAATTCTACATATATGTTCAATGATGATTCTGATGATGAAATCCCCACCCAACGTGCTATTCAGGAAAGCTTGCAAGATAGGCATAAAATGGAAACAAGTCGCAGTGCAAAAACGGATGAAAGGTATTAAGTTATTCCTTCTTTTTTGGGTGTTTTCTTGGCATTATTATAAGCACATAGTAACCTTATTTTCCTTTGTGACTCCATGTGTTGTATTGCTTTGACCTTGTCTCATGGATACTGGAAACCACTGGTAGTTCTCCCTGAAAAAGTATATCCATTTCCTCAAAAATATGGAATGCATAGAACTTTCAAGGGTGTTTTACATCAATATCTAAATGAGTACAAGGCTTGCTGAAGAAGATAAGTATGTGATATGAAATAGATTGGTATGGTAGCTTTCCCTCATTTTAGTATTTAATTGTTGGCCTTTGTGTGAAAAATCCAATATTGTAGTGGCAGGGGAAGACCAACAAAAAAAATGTTTTAATGTGTTAAACCTTGAAAAAATCTATATAATTTAGAGAAATCTGACATGTAGTCTAGACTTGAGTGTTTAAATTAAGGTATAATTATATCCTGAACTTCATTTTAATTTTTTTCTTCTCACTTGATTTTTGTTCTGTTTATGCAGTTTCCAGTATATTGCAAGTAAAGAACATGGAAAGATAATTGCAGCAATTCGGACAGTTAAGTACAAAGACACCACACTAAGCCTACACCCCTAGTAATCACTTGGGTATTGCATTGTTGAGCAATGCCTACATTTTAGGTGTTTGATCACCTGATTTAAGTCTAGTGTTTCTTCTTGGAAGGACTAAGGCAACTGAAAACAGGACACGCAAAAGCTAACTTGTTGGATAGGAACATGATAATGTTCAAATGTCACTCCTCAGAGATTCCAGTGCTTCATCTCCTGGAATTTAGGGGAAAATGCCAGATCTTTCTTATAAAATAAGCAACAGGATGGCAAGGCCCCTAGTCAGTTAATACTTCATAAAAGCAGTTGTCGCTTTGTGAGATACCCAGATTAAAATCCCTTCTCTACCTGCAGAGTGTTCCAGAATTGTTCCTTAACTGCTAAACTTTGGTATATTCCAATATGAGATGCTCTTAGTCTGCTTCTCTGAAACTTTTACTTTTTGTGGTGTTATCAATTTATATACTGAGGCACAGAGATAAGTAAACAAGGGACATAAGTAGAACAGTTGTTTGGACAGTTGTCTGGGTGTGGGGAAACCTTCAGTCCAGTCCTTACACACGTTGTAGTAGTTATAGAGATATTTAGTGAAATAGAAGTCAAAAAAACAAGTATTTTATGGAAAAGCTAGTGCTATAAATGTTCCATACATGATGGAGAATCGGTCTAAACACTAGCTACACTTGCTGTCTGGCCTTATGAATATGTAATTCTTCCATATGTAGGAGAACGTAAGCAGCAGAGGTTGGGAGCAGTCTGTCCCCTTGCCCTACAGTTGTAACTAACAGAAGTGCAAACTGCCTTCTCCCAGCAATGATGGGATAAAAAAAGAGGAGAAACCTAGTTTCTACTTGGCTTTCCAGCCAGGAAAGTGTTGCTGTTTCTTGAGAAGATACAAAATTGAAAACATTATCACTTGTGTTGATTAAAGATCCAATAAGATTGTTAGTAAAAGCAGAAGTAACAGGTCTTGTCCCTGTTAAATCGGCTTCATTTTACTTTTGCCAACCTAATATTTTTACCTACAGTTTCACTAGGACACCTGTTTATACATTAAACTTCCATGCGCTATTGCTCATGAGAGGATTCTATTTGAAATATTTTAGTCATATTATTATAAGTAAGTTTCTTCAATGAATAATCCAAAATGCACAATGAGTCCATGTCAATCATTGATTGTTCCATTCATGTAAACCATCCTCTGAGAAAAAATTGCTTTGACAAAGCAAGTTGTTTATTCTAGATACACTGATGGAATAAATGGAACTCAATGTATTAGTTGCCTGAATTTTGTTTTATGATGAGTGTCTCTCAAAATATCGCAGGCCAAGAAGAGGCCTTGACAAAGTTGGTGAGGCACAGCTCTGCTTTTGAAGAAGCAGATCAGCAAGGCTGGCTTCCTGTGCATGAAGCTGCAGCACAGCTAAATCAGAACATCCTTGAAATAACTTGGAAAGGTACTTTTGGTTTACCACCAAAAAGTTTTACAAAGTTGGGTTTGATGAACCATCCAGCTTCAAACGTGTTCTGCTTTTCTCTGTTTCAGCCTCCCGTGCCATTACGTGGGAACAGACCACTCTAAAAGGGGAAACACCTCTCTTGGTGGCAGTAAGAAATTGCTTTGTGGACAATGTCCGCTTTCTCCTGCTCAGTGGCTGCAATCCCAATGTTAAGAACGAAGAGGGAGATTCTCCTTTAGTTATAGGTGAATACCTTTTTTAGGGTTGAAGATGTGGGGGAATGAGGCGAGATTATAGTAACGTATTTTAGGCTTCAATCTAACATATTTGACTTTAAATCAATATCAAATATATTTTGCTATAAGGAGCAAAAAATGTTTATCTCAGTATTGAATATGTCCCTGTGTGTTTTTTCTTAGATGATATCAAGGCTTTAAATGAGCTGACAATTGCAAGCTAGGGACTGTCACTGCAAAGCTCTTAGCATTATATGTTAATTAAGGTATTATCCTGTTGGTCTACCGAAGTATGGCAAACACAGAACTAGGAGAAGGCAAAAATCTTTCCCCAAAGTCTGATCCAATGCGGGGAGCTCCTGGTGCCTACCATTTTCCATCCCTCAGTTGCACTTGAGGTTCAGGTTGAACATACATCTTTTTCCTGAAATTATCAAATAGATTTCTGCATTAAGTGCAGAGTGTCTTCCTCTGCTTTTCTTGGTGTCCTTTATGCAGTGGTGCCAGATAACCAGGTCCTCCTGCTTCTTCATGCTATTACTATTATTTATGTCTGCAGGCACAGAACATTCATATTGTCTGCTTACATGGTATCTCTTTCATTGCATCGTCTTCTCTTTCTCCAAAAAACAGGGTAATTGGTTTTGATTTTGAGAAATTATAGCAAACCAGCCTGATTTATCTGCATTACACAGGGCATAAAACAGTGTTTGTCCCTATTCAGACATTGCTGGAATTAATCCAAGGATGATAAGTAAAGAGGCTAAGTGTGCCTAAATTCTCAGTTCACTTCTCTTTGATTTTTTTTTTAACTGAAGAAGGAAGTCCCATACCTATAGTATCACCCTTAATGTGAATGCCATTTTAATTTAATCATGCACAAGAACTGTAATTCTTGATTTATAGAGCACCATATTTTGCCAAGATGTTTTTCAAAACTGTTCTATATTAATTTCATTGGCCTCCCTCTATTTGGGCTATGATGCTATTATTCTTACTGAGTCCTAGCCAAAAAAAGGAGCAATGTAAGATTTTTGGACAAACCTGTAAGTTTTTCTGTGTTGGAAGGGTGTTTTTTTCAAAACTATTGTTAAAGGAATAAGAAGAAGCCTACAAACCACCTGTAGGACCCCCAGTACGTCCTTTTGAAATGACTAAAGCTTCCTGTCAGGGCCACCTGCTTAGAAAAGATGTAGAGAATTCCATGTCCTTTTGAAGTGCACTATATTAAAATGCACCAGCCCCCAAGAAAGGGACGTATGGCGTTTACCTAAAGCAGCCACCCAGGTTACGGATGATGGGACATCACAGGTTATAGTAAACTGTCAGTGGTATTTCCAGGAGCTGTAGCCCATGGAGTTCTCTGCCTGATCTGTCTCGTTGAAGGGCACTCACTCTTCTACCCTGCACAGCCGGAAGATCAAAGGGAGGAGGGAAAGGTGTTGCCTGTTCATTGCATCCACTGGAACTGATGCAAATTACTCATTTAAGATCCTGACTGATTTAACAGATCAGACTTATCAGGCTAGGAAGGCATATGACCCGGTCGTTTTAAACTTTGTTTCATATTACTGCATACAGAGGTTAAGTAGAGCTCTCCGGGCAGCCCAGCGCCTGGCCGCACCAAGTCCCTGTGCATGGTCCCCATCTAGCGGCAAGGAAATTACCAAATGCAACAGAGGATTACAGAGCGAAAAGGAGATAACCATAAAATCATTCGTTTATATAGTTAATGTTATCCTGGAAACAAAGGACAGACTTGCTGAGAAGTTAAACGTTTCAGTGTAGTGTGACATTTCTCAGTGTATAAATAGCGTTGCCAAGAACAGCTCGAGCTTTCCTGGGCTGCCAGGTAACAGAAGCCATAGTGCATAGAATAGCATCGAATAACATTCGGGCTGACACTTCACTTATTGTCTTACAGCAATTAAACTTGATTCGTATGAGATTGCCTCCTTGTTGATAAATTCTGGTGCCAAAGTGAATTTGCAGTGTGTCCACGAGAGGACTGCTTTACATGAGGCAGCCAGACTAGGCAGGAAGGATCTGGTGAAGCTTCTCCTTCGTTCTGGAGCAGACCCTGACCCTCGCAGTGGATATGGGCTCACACCACTAGCACTGGCTGCGCAGACCGGACATACAGAAATTATGGAGCTCTTACTGCAAAAAGGTGAGACTTTGTTATATAGAATGTTACAGGAAGAGAATGTTGGAGGTGGGGGGTCTATCTTGCCAGTGTTGTAACTATCTGATGGGATGGTGTGAAGAAGACAGAGCCAGATTCTTCTCAGTGGTGTCCAGTAACAGGACAAGAGGCAGTGGGCACCAACTCGAAACCTAGCAAATTCTGTCTGAATATAAGAAAACACTTTTTTCTGTAGGGTGGTTGAACATTGGAACAGGTCACTCAGAGAGGTGGAGTCTCCGTCCTTGGAGATTCTAAAACCTGACTGGACACTGTCCTGGGCAGTCTGCCGTAGCTGACCCTGCTTGAGCACAGGGTTGGACTGGATGATCTCCAGAGGTCCTTTCCAACCTCAGCTGTTCTGTCGTTCTGTTCTACAACTCAGTAGATTAAATTAGTAACGTGTAGGTTCAGTGGTGGTGTTCTTCAAGTGAGTAGAAATTGTAAGACACATACGTTAGTACTGAAATGTTTAAAGCCCAAATGGGACAAAGTAAATCTTTCCAAGAGAAAATTATTCTTAAATGCAGAGGCAAAATTCTTAGCTCAGTAGCCAGTAAAACTCTGCATTACTGAAGTGAAAGGAAATGAACTGTTATCATGTTACTGAGTATATAGCCTGTAGTGTTAATAGATCCAAACATAAACAAAATACATTTTTAGATGTTAATTACTTGTAGCAAACTGTAGTAGTCATCAGTGAACAGTTTGCAAAACAGCAAGTGAGTCTGACACATTGCAGGAGTTCGCATTTTTGGATGGCATCTTAATTTATTTGAAGAATTTGATTCTCAAATCACATGAGTTGAAGTCCATCTAAAGAATTCCTAGTATCTACATTTCATAAGATATTCATGTTATGATATATATTCCCTCTAAAGTAGTTAGCCTATTCACACACAATTTTCTTAGTCTTCTGAAAGTTCTATGATTGGATTAAAACTGGTTATTGTAAGATCCACCTTCAGAAATAGCAGCAACTTTCCTTAGTAAAGACAATTAAATGCAATCTGCACCAAAGGAATTGTGATGTAGTTAAGTAAAGGCTTGATAATGACCATATTTTCATAATATTCAAATAATATATTAATATTTCAGTAAGTAATTGTAACTGTTTCTAAATGCAGTATTGTTTTCTCAAGTAGACAGGTCACCTTAGGAAGGCCTGACAAGACATTTATGGTGGGGAATTTTATATGATGGCTCAGCAGTGCTGGAACTGGGTTGTATGAACTGTTTTGATACTGGGTTCTCTCGTATTTACGGTTATATCTGTCTGGTCTTTGTATATTAGAAGAAATGAAATGTGTTGTATGTAAGCCAAAAACCAATTGTTTGTATGAAAGACAAACCAAACCCCTTGCTTGACCAGTTCTAGCAGCAAGTCTTACTGTGTAATTGTGTTCAAAGCAATTTGGACCGTCTTGTTCCCAGGTTTACATAAACACATTTAAAATCAAGGATCCAAGATGAAGGTTTATGCCCATAGTGGTTTTATTTGATGAAGAACAGAATTCACAATACCATGTCACTGGAGGGTTGGAGATGATTGTTGCTGGATATTTACAGTGAGTACTGTGAAAATCCTTTATGCTTCTTTCCAGGTGCAGATGTTCTTTCACAGGCAATGGATTGTGCTTCTGTATTATTTGAAGCAGCTGGAGGAGGAAATCCAGAATCTCTGAGTCTTTTACTAGAATATGGGGCTGACGCCAATGTACCAAAGCACTCTGGTCATTTGCCAATCCATAGAGCTGCATATAGAGGACACTTTCTGTGAGTTAATATACTTAAAAATCAAGTAATGGTGACACCAGAAATATTAATTTTGCTAATTCTACCATATTCAAAGCAGGCAGCAAATCTGTAGTTTTGTAGAAGGAATTCTTTTTGACCATGTAAACATGAGTTTTCTATATCTGAATGTACAAGACCAGTCAGGATAAAATCTTCATCATTTCAGGATGAACATAGTAATTCCTATAGTATTTCCCCACTTGTTGCAAATAGTAACACTGCCCAGTGTGACACTGAGGTTCTTGAGACATCCTCGCTCTTCTGGGTATGCCTCATCTCCCTCCACCCCATCACAGGAAGGTAAATGTACTAAATAAACAAATAGACTTTAGGGGATAAGGGTTATCCCTATTTTAAAGACAGGAGGGTTACTGGAAGATACGTACGCTAAAATCACAGCCAGTAAGTGAAAAACAAGTCTTCAATACTAGGAATGTTGCATTGTGGTTAAGAATCTGAGGATTCTAAATTCCTATGTTAATATTTTATATATATTAGTTAAATCATAGTTAAACTTAAACATATTGTATATATTAAATTAATATAACATGAGTACATATACTATATATATTCTATTAATTCCCTAATTCCTATATGTTAAGAAGTAACACTGTACTCTTGACATTCAGAAAAAGCTTCTATTGAGAAGAAATCATTATTCCTCTAGCAAGGAATGGGATTGTTCATGAATAATAGTATAATAGAATAATATTTTATGTGTAGTAGATGTAAAGTCAGTATCCATTGCTGGCTAACCGTGCAGAGGTTTAGTATGCCATGGTACTGACTTGGTAGATTAAGACAATTGTATACAGTCATAAAAAATGATGCTCAGGGGGCTGGTCACCCCTCTGTGAGGGCAGGCTGAGAGAGTTGGGGGTGTTCAGCCTGGAGAAGAGAAGGCTCCGGGGAGACCTTAGAGCGGCCTTCCAGTACTGAAAGGGGCTACAGGAAAGGGGGGAGGGACTCTGCATCAGGGGGGTGGGGGTAGGACAAGGGGTAACAGTTTTAAACTGAAAGAGGGGAGATTGAGATTAGACATAACAAAGATTCTTCCCTGTGAGGGGGGTGAGGCCCTGGCACAGGTTGCCCAGAGCAGCTGTGGCTGCCCCCTCCCTGGAAGGGTTCAGGGACAGGTTGGACGGGGCTTTGGGCAACCTGGGCTGGTGGGAGGTGGCCCTGCCCAGGGCAGGGGGGTGGGACTGGATGGGCTTTAAAGGTCCCTTCCAACCCAAAACATTCTTTGATTCTGTGATGAATTCTGAGGCCCAGCAACACAGAGAAGACTGAGCTCGGTAAAAAAGTATGTTTAAGATTCTGAGATATTTTTTTTTATTATTATTCAGAGCCCTAAAAAATTTAGTTCCAGTTACTAATTTTGATGCCATTAAAGAAAGTGGGATAAGTCCAGTTCACTCAGCAGCAGCAGGAGCACATCCTCAGTGCCTTGAGTTTCTCCTCAAATCTGGGTTTGATGCTAATTTTATGCTGGATCAGAGAGTTCGCAAAGGCTACGATGACCACCGGAAATCAGCGTTGTACTTTGCTGTTTCCAATGGGGACATCTGTTCAACAGAGTTGCTGTTGAATGCTGGAGCCCTGCCAAACCAAGATCCCATCAACTGTCTGCAAATAGCCTTGAGAATGGGCAACTATGAGTTAATGAATCTACTGCTCCAACACGGGGCTAACGTCAATTACTTCTGCAGAGTGAATACAACGCATTTTCCATCAGCTCTACAGTATGCTCTGAAAGATGAAGTCATGTTAAGAATGCTGATGAACTATGGCTATGATGTGCACCGCTGCTTTGATTGCCCTCAGGGGAACAGTTCGCATTCCCAGTATGTGACTGACGGATGGACTTCTACTGTTATCAAAGATACAATGGTAAGGATATCAGATGGCTTCATTAGTCTGTTTTACTACCAGTATCCTTCCTAAAACTAAATGAAAAGGCACTTAATGTAGTGTCAGAAAAAGAAGTTTTGAAACCGTAAGAGTTTACACATAAAGGCAGGAATAGACAAGGCTTTAAAATTAAATAGATGTTGCCATGAGGCCTGGTTCATGACAGCAAATGATCATAAACAGTATTTTTGTATTGTGAAAACGCAGCTAATGATATGCTAGTGATCAGTACAGAACGGGCAGTCTTGTCCATGCTGTGAAAGCAGGGACTTGCGGGCTGGCCCGCGGGGCTTGGATCCGCACACTGATCGGGGCAGGCTGTCGTAGGGGACCCCTGGAGCTGACACAGTCGGCACTGAGCAGCAGTTAACAAACCCGGACCAACCTGAAGAGGCTCCTGGAGACACCCAGCAGCAGCATTGCTTTGCCGTTTGTAGAGGCCATCTGAACCTAATAAACCCTTCTTTAACCTGAAGGTAAGGGGGTGTGGCAGGCACTGGGCTGGTGGGACCCCTGTTCAGCACACTGGGACACATCTAAGTCCACTTAGGGAGTGGTAGCACTTCTTTTTAAGCATTTAGTTACCAAATATACAGCTGCTTAAGTTCATTTTTGCATCTAGTACAGAATAACCATCTCAGATTTTCAGATGCTACTAGTGAGGCTTAATGCAGGCTGTGACCACCTCTAAAGCTCCCCTGGCTGACAGAACATTCATTTTGCCTGCTGTTCTGCTGAAGTTATTTAATTGCTCTTGTCCTGCAGAGGCATAAGTTAGTTACAGCAGTATTAAATATTATCCTGTTAAACATTCTGTTTTCTATCAGTTCTGTGAAGTGATAACCTTGTCATGGTTGAAGCATCTGTCTGGGAAAGTAGTGCGAGTCATGTTAGATTACGTTGATCACGTTCCTATCTGCTGGAAGCTAGAGGCAGTTCTCAAAGAACAGGAACTCTGGCCAGACATCAATTTGATTTTAAGTAAGTACCTGATGTTTACATTTGAAATGACAAACAAGCTGGGATTGGGGCCTTTTTGTTGATAGTATTTTTCATTTTCTTTACCTCAGACTAGAGCTTTTCTTGACCCTTGTTAGACCAAAAGTTATGTTTTGACAGTAAGAGATCTCATAAAAATCAGTCTTTAGGATTCAGACTAAGTTTCTCTCAGAATTCTGATAGACATTAACTGCACAATTTATGTAGAGCACTTGGAAAATTTAACTAAAAGACAACATAATCCTCTTCAAGGGGAGAAAAGCTTCTCCCCTTGCCTCAAGTTGATGGAACAAATCTAATAAATCACTATTTTTGAGTGATGTAATTCCAGTCTAGATTAATGCTGTCCTTTTTTGCTTGTACACAGATTAAGAACTGGTGACTCAAAATTCTACTTCTAGTAGCTTCTTCAGGTTGACAGAAAACTGGCACCGGTTACTTGAGGTTAAAGTACATTCTCCAGACTTTACTACTTAAATTTGCATTAACCCACGTTTAGCCAACTTGACAGAAAGAAAAGCTGTTGATTTAGGTGCCAATGATTGTAAATATAACTGGGAGATGTATGGGCTGAGATAAAAAGGCTAGATCCTGACAGGTCTGGTTGTCCAGGGACAGCCACATTCATCTGACTGTTCGCAGAATGAACAGGCAGCGAAATCGTGAACAGTTTTTGAAAGGTAGTAGATTACTGAATAAATAACTTGAACAAGATTTAATAAATAACTTATTAAAATCAATCTTGCCTTCTCATTTCTAGCAAATCCTCGCTCTCTGAAGCATCTTTGTCGTCTGAAGATACGGGCATGCATGGGCCGATTACGTCTGCGTTGTCCTGTCTTCATGACCTTCCTTCCGCTGCCAAACTGCTTGAAAGACTACGTACGGTACAAGGAGTATGATCTTTATGGACAGAGAAACTTCGTGGGAACCTGCAACCCCGACTGTACATAATTACTAGTTCTATATGTTGAAGGGAATGTTGATGTGGAAGACTGTTGTGCAGCTGCTTTTTTCTTTTGGGATTCTATCTCCTATGTATATTAAGGAATAGCAGCATTTCCCCCTCACACCCTGAAGAAAATGGGGAGAAGCCAAAAATGTAAGTATTGGTGATCCCACTCTACAGATCTACTGGAATATAAACTGTTGGAGAGTTATGGCATTACTATTTTAAATGCTTAGTGTGAAAACCTAGGGAACTGTAAAATGTAGGGCTGCAAACCTTGGGTTATTGCTAACACATAACACTACCCCTGCTGCACGGTTAAACTCAGGGTTTAGTGAAAGGACAGGGATTTAACTGAAACTAGGAAGGGACATAGCCCTTTTTTCTTGTACTTCCCCTTCTCTTGCCAAGAAGTAGTTTTTGTTTGTGAAAGTCCTACAGTGAAGTTCTGAGAAGCAGCTTAAATAGATTTCTTGTACAATCTCACATTCTAAGCAGTGGAATGGGATTAACAGCTATAGAAACCTCTGCTTATCACAGCAGCTTGTGTTGAGGGAGCGGTATTGCACAAGGCAGCACTATTTCTGAAAGACATGTTCGTTCTGCATCTTATGCGCAGGTAGTGATATATTTCATCCATTATGTATTTTGATTACCCTCTCTAGAACTAGGTTTTCCTTTCACAGTGCTGTTCGAAGGCATGCTTGCACATTGTGGAGTTTCTCTTCATGTAGCTGGAGCACCATCTGTCAGCTACCAGTCGTCCTAGGAAGTCTTACAGTAAAAGTACCCACAGCATGCCTCTTCTTTCTAAAAACACTGCAGTTATCAGTCCCGATTTTAGAAAAAAAAGTTCAACACAGTTGGCATTAGTAGTATTTATTCCTTCATTATCAAGTAAGCATAGATTTTATTTTTCTAGTTATACATGCATCTTTATCACAGAAGTTACATAATTCAAAAGTCTGCTTTTCCCCAGAAAAAACTACAAACCTTATAAAATACAAATTTAACCATAATGTAGTTATGACCCATTGATTTTTACATGGTGTTTATCATATAATAAACTAATGAAGCCCGCAAAGATACATATCAGTACCCATGAGAAGGGCTGTGCTGGTATAGCCTCTGTCCAGGTGAATTCTGGCCAGTGTCACAACCACAGCTCTGCTGCGTGCTATGCGCTGTCCTGGGACTACCCCGCCCTGGGCACTGAACAGCCAGCCACCATGGTCAGGAGTTTCTTCTGCTAAGGTTCAGTCTTTGATTGTTGCAAAAATAAGTTATCAGCATTCCCAAGTACAACAACTTTCTCTGAGGTTATCTGGCTAATACGATTAAAATTAAGAGAATGGAGATACACTTTGACAACAGAGGGCTCTAACTGCATGTTAAAACTTTGGTTAATGGCAGGGAATGCATCCTGGCACCAAAAATGGTACTTCCTGAAAGTCAGTATTATGAAAAATTGAAGGAGGTTTTTACATCAGTACAAATCCCACCCAGAAAGTTACGATAGTTAAGCTTTTATTCAATCTACAAAATGGTGACTGAAGCCCTGGCATAATATGTTTACTATCCATGTTTCCAAGATTAAGACACAACACTTAAAGTTGACAAGTATGCCATTGGAGGTTTTTAGTACAGCTACTCAGGGAAAATGTGCAAGTCAGTCTCAAACATTGCAAAAAATCACTTACACTTCACTAGAACAGGACCAGTCCAGAACATCATCGTAAGAATCTGAACACTCCACTCTATTATAAAAATGACCTGAAAGATTGTACAAAATCCTTGGCTTGCAATATAAACTTCATTAGGAGTACAAGTGCATTCACAAGGACACACTGACTCAGTCTTGTCATGACAACTTAGATACCACTGTGGCAGAAAAAAAAGAATCCGCTTACTGCTTGGTTATAAAGCCTTGGAGACTAGCTGACTTGCAAGGACTTTTGTAAAACGGAGCAACAGAAAGAATATAAAATATCAGCTCTTTCAGTTAGACTAGACAATATCTCTACTAAACTCACTAAGCAGTGGCAGGGTTTCTTTATGTGAATTACTTCCAAAATAACAAGAGACTATATGGTAACATAGTTTTCTCTATTGGCTTCTCCTAAATTCTGTGCAACTATTTCATCTGAATTTACCTTAAACACACACACAGTCAAATTTGCTTCTTTATATCAATGTACACAGATCATATCTTCATAAATAGCTTCAGCTGTTTCAGGATTTTCAGCTCTAGGTTTACATCCATATAAAGATGAAATCTGACAGTATTGTAGTGGAAGAATATTCCTTAAGTATTACTTTACTGTTAAGATTGTCTTGCTACAAGTTCAAACCTAAACAGATTCAGCAAGTAACAGACTATCAAATTCAAGTTAGTGTACACTACCAGCCTGTAACCAGTTACACATGGCTAAGTTGTACAGGACTCTTAACTCGTCCTCTGATTTAAACTTGGAGAAATCTATTAGTAGCCACAGAGGAGTGCAGGGTATTAGCTGTAATGCAGTAAAATTCATACCCATAAGCACACTTTATATATTTTTATATTTACGCTATTACATACATAAAGAATGTACGTAGCTTGAAATAACTGACAAGATTTGCTTGGTCTGCAGTGTGTAAATCTACAGGTGTTACAAACTTAACATCCCCTTACCTAAGAGGAAAAATTGTGGCAGGAACTAAGAGGCTGCAATTAGCAACATAAAAAGGCAGTCCTAAACACCACTGCTGATTCAGTACCTATGCAAAGTCACTTCAAAATCATGTAGATGAAAGAGTACTTTAGGAGTGTCTGAAATACTGGCTGATGCACATGAAGCAAACTACAGCTTCAGCTGGAAGTGCTTGAAAGATCAGTCTGTAAGTAAAAGGCAATAGGAAGTATTAACCAGGAGAAGAACCCAACCAGTCATCTATTTACAGCAATAAAATGCTCAGGTGGTGAAATCCCACTGCAGTAGTTCCCAGAAGAACAGGAGGTGTTCATATTAAAAGTCATACTCTCAAGGAGAATACTATGCACACTAATTTTTTTTAATTAACAAAAATGTTTTCCAATGAAGTAGTTCTAAACCTCATAGGAAAAAAGGTACCAAGTAGTTTTGGGGAGAAGGACATGGATAAAACCTCAGCAGCTATTTTTTGCCTTAAGGTCAGTCTACTTACAGAGCCATGTGCTCCTCCCCTTCAGCAGCACTCCACAATTCTCACCCCACTGCTAACTCCTTGCACCGTTCTCAACTTTAACTTCCTCATCTCTTCTGACCTGCCATTTGCTCCTGCAGCTTTCAGCACTCCCCCAGATGCTTTTACATCTTTTAGCTCATATTAACACCAGTGAAACTCCCCTAAGTAAGCAAAAACACCACCCTCATTTCATTCATGCATATCACTGTTTTCTTTAACCACTCTCTTCAATCATTTCTCCTTTTTTTTAGTGGTTAAGGTGAGAATCATCCAACACAAATGAAACGCACTTCACTCCTATGCTGTCTGGTTTAGAAAACTACATTTAACAGCATAGATGGAAAGTATGACAAGCAAATGGAATAATTCCAATCATGTATTGCTAAATCTGAAAAATCCCATATGACAGTAAATTCATCTGCCAACTTTATTCTCCTGCTTTCTTCCTCCTCTTTGCAGATTTATGTCTAAAACAGTAATGGTAGGCTTCAAGAAAAAAATCAAGTAACTCAATTTTCTGGCATTTCTTCAACAAGGCTAATGCAAAAGAGGCTACACTTCTGAAATGCTTTTTGCTGAGATTGCTGATGCATTAACTGTCTTCCCTACGGAGCTCGGGCTATAGCAGCTAACCTGGTTAACACGTTAATCAACTCTTACTCTGCCAAGCTGGGGGACTAGATTCTAGAAACTGGAGACCACCGACTTCATATTCTTCCTGTGCTGTTTCAAAACTACTTGATCTTCAGCATGTACTTGAGGGAGATATAGTAAGACACAGCAACCTTGAGCTATGCTGTCATTATTTGATAGAAAACAGAAATATCAGTAAGTAAAAACAAACAAACAAACAAGAAAGAAACACGAACTGGAAGGATTTGTAGAGAGAAACTGGCTGCCATGCAACTACCTGTAAGCCTGGATTTAGGCACAAAAAGGGAAAATGTTGGATTTGCTGCCTCTGTAGTTTTCTGTTGGCAAGGATAAAAACAGTCTCTTAAGAATAAAAGCTGAGAATAGAAGACTATGTATGAAATTAAAATGCCACTCTTTTTAGAGAAAAGCCTCAGATTTGTCTGGTCCACGTGACAGTGTGCTAGCCAAGTCTGGCCACAGGGCAATGCCATTTGGCCTAACCGGGCAACAGCAAAAGCAGGTATTTCTGCAATTGACTCGCTACTCTGAGGAGGATGAAAAGTGTACTGGAACAGGAGTTGCTAACTGGGGAAGAGAACCTGGAGGCTCTCTGCTGCTCAGCCTCCCCTCCTGCTCCTCTTTTCAGGTAGGGGGACTGAGACCCCTGCCGAGGCTGCCCAAGGACACCTGGGGCCAGCATCGCCTCCTCCCCAGCTGCTCTGGCTCCTGCTGCAGTAGCAGCCCCCGGGCAGCAGCCTCGGCAGGTCCTACCCAGGCCTCCACCCTTCCCAGCCCTGGGAGGAGCCAGGCCCAGGGACCTGCTGTGTAGAAATCCACATCTCCAGCCTAAAGAGCAGGAGGGGAGTGAGGCCTCCAGCCCATGCCAGGCCACTCCTGGGCACGAGGAGAGCCCTACAGCCACCTCGCAGACGGCCAGAGATCCCTCACCTGCTTACCCGCTATGAAGGGCTGGGCCATCATCAGCTGAGGGGGAGATACTCTGAAAATTGATTCCATTCCTGGACACCAGAATTGCCCTGCAATGAACTGTAAAACTCATAACTGTGATATTATAACTTGGAGTATAGGTATATTCTTCTTTTTCTATATTTCCTGTTATGTTCATGCCACTATTAGAGAGTATCTTCTGTTCCACTGGATTTTAGTATTTATAGTTATTAGTGCAAAAATAAATATTTCTCTTCAAACAAGTTTTCTCTTCTGGATCTAAAGGTGAATGCACATTTAGTACTATACAAAATAAATATTACACAGGGTATGGAATATGGAGTTCAGATTATAAACTGTAAACAGACACTGCTTTGAAAAATGCTTTACGGGATTGACTCTAGAATGGAGGATTAGCATAGTCTCTTACTTCAGAACTAGTATATTCTGTTTGCAAAATCAATTTCCATAAAGAGCCTTAAAGAGCCTCAGCTCATTTTCAGTAACTGTAGTGTACCGGTGGCAAGGCATTTACATATTCAGAAGATTTTTTCAAACATGGAATTCAAGATGCTTCTGCAACTCTAAAGTGTGTTTTATAAAAAGTGAACTCAAAGGCTTACAGCATTTTATTACATGTACTGGGGAAAAATCAAGAACATGGCACTTGTGCTACAAGAATATATACATTATTCTTATCATTTGATAAGGAATGCTTTATACATTCCTCATGCAGCAAAGTGCAACTGCATCTCATCAGCTCTTCTCTAGGTCTGACAGTATTTCTTCTCCTGTTGAAAGAAGTCTTTCAGCATCATATTCACCAAAAAAATCAAGACAGTATCACACAGTGCAATATGAAACAAAAAAATAAGATCTTTCTGTCAAGAACTATTGCACATTTCACTGATGTTAATAAGGATTTTTCTTTCTAAATCTAAGAACAGTTATGTGCAACAAATTAGGTAAAGCTTAGCACTGTCTTATTTAGACATCCACTTTTGTTTCCAGCAAGTTGTTCTCCATACTGCAGTGTAAAGAACAAATTTCAGTGTACTGCTGAAGTCCAATGAGAGTTTTAAGTTTTGCTTCAAGAGCAGTCAATTGCACAGAGAGGTAAGTTGGGAAAAAAAACCCACAGTTTTTTTCCATACTGCAGAGAAGCCTTGAGAAAACATAACTTTGTAATAAACATGGTACCATCACCATGCTTCATCTGCATTCAGAAGAGAAACTGTACTGACAGGAAAATGGAAATCACTTAATTGAGAAAGAAAAATCAAGGCAGAATAGGGTCTACATATTGTGAAGTCCTTTAATAACAACAGACCCTCCACCTACATTTCACTTCTTGTAGAACTTGTGCCATTTCACCTGACATATCCATGATGCCAATCTTAATCAAGTAGGCAACCTTAGGCTTCAGATTCTCTCTTCTTCTTTCCATCTTCTCCTAAATCGCTGTCTTCCGACTGGCTGCTGCTAAGGACTACAAACTGTCCTTCTCCGCTGCTCTGGTTCGATCTGCTGGAAGCAGCGATCAGCCGGCTTTGCTCCTCTAAGTCCTAATTTGAGAAGAAGGGGTTGGGAAAGCAGAAAAAGAATATTAACTTTAAAGCCCTCTACAGTTGAAACAGGATACGTTTATTATGATCTCTAAACTTTCAGTGGACAGACTTCTATACAGAGGGAATTAAAAGATTGAATAGGAAACCAAAACATTTCCATTTCCGTACAGCTGGCGTTAGAACAGCAAACACATTAACACACCTGTGCCTGTAACCCACAAAACACAACAGGTCAGAGCAAGCATCTTCAGCTGCAGCCCACTCCCTGCTGCCCCCTCCTCAGCAAATCAAATTATTTTGGGCCTGTGAAAGGTGTGCCTTCAAGCACCACTCTGAAGTACTCCTATAAAGACGTTTTGTGGTTTTGCTCCTCAGAAGAGCTCTTTGTATAGTAGTTTTAAAAAAGTTATACAAAACCTGCACAGGAAATACTTCTAATAATTAACTCCATAATGTTCTGTGATCTTGTACTAATGAATATGATAGCAGAGCTTGGAATACAGAACTGCAATAGAAAGCAGAAAAAAAAGAGTATTAAAAAATAATGATGGAATGTACCTTTTCAATTTGTTTTTGTTTGTTCAGTTCTTTTTGTTGCTTCTCTTTGACTCTATCTATTTCTTTCTGCTTTTCTGATGCTTTTCGATCCTAAGTGGCAAAAATAAAGGAAGTAACAACAGCCTAAGATGTTTGATACAGTACGGATTTATATGAGTTTGCTCAAAACTGTTATATCACTGCTTTGATTATTCTTCTCTTAAGGGACTGGTATGTTTGTTAAAGGTAGCAAGCTGAATCCTATCTTGAATATTGTTCCCCAGTAGACACTGGTCAGTCTTCTTATCTTGGGTTTAAATTCTAGAAAACCAATCCCTTAAAATACACCCCAACAGTATTACAGTATCTATAAGAATCTTGCAGAATACATTCTATTACACATATTATATATACTCTCTCCCTTCCATTCACCAGTATCCCTTGCCCCAAAAAGAGTCTTACCAGTTCTGCATGAAAAGCTATTTGTTTTGCCAGTCCAACAGAGTCACATATCTAAAGACAAAACAGATTGGAAAGAATAAAAAAAAACTAATACAAATGCCTTTAAAATTAAGCCAGATTCCCAGATCGGGTATAACAGCATATAAAGCACTTGCAGGTACTTAGACTGTCAGGTTTAACTGTTTTTCAGTACATTAACAAAATACTCTCCCCCACAGAAATCCCTTAGACATCTTGAATGGCTCTAAGGTCTTGGAATCCACATCAGGTTCAAAACTGATACAAGTATAACCATCACCAATACCTTTTCCCCTTCATTATTTGATTCAAATATATAGCAGATGGAAGTTTGGCGGCTCTCAACTCTCCCTCCTGAAGTTCTAAGCACAAATCCAAAAAGGCGCTTATTCTCCTGGTGCGTAGCATACAAGACTACATTGGGCAAAGGAAACTGCCAAAAGGATCAAATACGGAGATATTAAAACTGGTTCCAAATATTTGCCATGTGAGGTCTCAGTACATTGCACATTAGTTACTTCAGTATCATAAATGCACAACCACACCAGAAGTTACAACCTGACCAAACATGTAATCACAAAACACAAACAGTAAGAGACAAGCATTAAATCATTCAAAAGACAGGAAAACTTCTAAAAAAAACCCACACTCCATATAAGGAAAAGAGCCCACTTCTGCAATGCAATTCAGTCATCTTTCTAAGTGTGAACAGTCCTTCTCTTTATTTTCTTTAAAGACATATCATTCATACAAATTACGTTTGTGGCTAAGATTTCAGTATAGGCACTACTTCTCCAAAACCTTTACTGCAATTAGTTCAGCTCTCCTAAGTTACATACGAAAAAAAAAAACAAAAAACCCAACAAACACAAAACCAAATCAGATATCCTCGTTATTTTGCTACAATAAAAATATGTTGTATTCTTATTCCTAAAAAAAGTGTGGACTTAGAAATTCAGTTGTATCTTTTTAAGACTTACCAAAGGATGAGTTGTTAAATTCTGAAAGCCTCTACTACAGCTGTTATAAACTGATAGGATGTTTTTCCTAACCTTAAATTACACATCTAGAATACTGGACATGCACTCAGTTGATATATCTCACCTGTAAAAGCTTACAGCTTTGGGGCAGTTTTGAACTTAATGCCACAAAGGTAAAGAAAGAAAAAAAACACTACTTGAAATATCAAGACATTTTCACATGCTTAGGATTTCCTTTTATGGAAATGAAAGTAATTCAGAGTCCCTGAAAAACTGAATCTTTTTAAAAGACGACCTGAAGAAATGACACACCATACATTGTTAATAATGAAGAAGAGGGGGAGCGGGGAACAGTTTTGAAATATGAAAAATACTGTTATTACTAAAGAATTAAGCTGGCCTTATTTGATATCCTAAGAAGAATTCCACTTATTTCTTTCAAGTGCATTTATTATACAGAAGAAAAAAAGAACCACCCAAAATCAGAAATCATACACCACTCTCAGTGCAATTATACATTAAAAAACAAAAACCCAAAACAAAACAAAAAAACCTGAACACCAAGCAAACCCTTTCAGACTTCAGAACTAATTTTATTTAAATCTTAATCTTATCCCTCTACTAACAGTATGTTTATAATCAAACACACTGTTAAATTACAATGATCAGTTTTCCTGATATTTTACCCTATTAAACTGGGGGTGGGGAAAAGTTTCAAAAGCCTATTTGACCTATTGATATCGCTCCCCTTAAACCTGATTTGCTGGTGTTTTTCTATTTTTAAATGTATGCATTAGTCTCCTAATTTTCAGTGGAAATTCATCTGGTAATCTCATACCAACAGTGATTTTTGCTCACATCTAATAATGTCTAATACTATTTTTCAGTTAGAAGAATTACATTGCTGAGTATTTATCTCAAAATATAAAGTTACTTACTCGTAGTCTTGTAACTTGTGTCTGTGGATCAATTAACCTAAAAATTTGTTTTTAAAAACAAATCAGAAAGTAAATTTTACCAAAGTGAAAGCAGATCATTCTGTAAATAAACATGAGTAGAAGTCAGAAAGCAAACTTACTTTAAACAGTCACAAGTGACTAATAAATGTGATTCTGTCATCCTGAAAACGTTATGGATGGCACGAGCCGCTAGTATTTGTCGCATTGTTTCATAAACAACATCTGGACTTTCATCAGATTTCACCTCCATAGAACCAAGAAATCTTACAATAAATAACTGGTGAAGAATTGAATCTAAGACAAAGAGAAGTATTGAAAAAAGTGAACTTCATTTTGGGTTTTCTATTTCAAACCAGAGATGAACTGAAGTCAGGAAAACTCCAAACTTCTAATAACTTGTAAAAAGATTGCCCGTGCTTATAAATTAGAGGTAGAATTACTAAACAAGTCACATATCTTTTCATTTGGTTTAATGAATACAAAAGATGCAATGAATTATTTTTGAAACAGACTTTCAGACAGCAGCCCGATTTAACACGTCTAATATATTGCTTTGCTGATGTAACTAAGCATTCTAAAACTAGTGTTAAATTAGAACAGGGAAGCTATAGAAGGAAATAAAATAATTTTTAAATTCTGGTTTTTAATTTGCATTGAAATAAATTTTATGGTTTACCTTCTGTTTCAGATTTTGAGCCTCCAGATTCACCAAAAGGATTTGTGCGTCTATTAAAAAATGAAAACATTAAACCACGAGTCAGATGACAAGAACCACTAGTGAATGATGTAGTAGTCTCATGCTGCATCAAATAAGAACATGTAATGATTTCACAGACTTGTAATCTGGACGAATGTATGATAAATCATAAGGACAAGCAATTTAATCAGGAATTAAATATAAATTGCTGTATTTGAGGGCTCAAGTTATGGGAAACATACCAGATATTATTGTCCTATTGCTGCCATAGAGAGTTTTGCTCACATGTGGGGTTTTTTATATCTGAATTAAGCCCAAGTCAAAACTTTGTTAATATTTGAAAAGACAATAGTTTTAGGGGATGAAATTTCACAGAAGAGCTTCAGGAAATACCACCAAAAGCTAGTTCTGTCAGGACTCTATAGGAGCACCACACTTCTCATCACTGTCTCAAGTTTTTGAATTACTTACTGAAGAGAAGTCACTGGTTTTGTTTCAAATGCAGCTTTCTGAAAACATCACTGGGGTTTTACTCCTAGAGGGTCAAGAGAAATGTGGCTATTTCTGGCTCTCAGAGACAGAATTGCTATCAGTTACAATGAAAAGTGAAAATACTCTAGGCTTCCAAGTCTACATTTTCCAAAAGCAGTAAAGTAGTGCTGAAATGAGTATGGGAAATGGGGACATTTTATTCAGAACTTCTAAAGAAGCAAAAGCCCCTTTCTCTTTGGCTAACTGGTAGCTGAAAAACTATTATCAGGAGTTATTAAATTTTAAGTTAGGTTTTATAGGGGAGTAGTAAAGGTGTCACCTCTCAATAGTCAGTGTTCTAAGGGCAAGTTTCAGAACTAAGAAAAAAGTCACTCTTGTTCAGTTCCATGTCTTACTGACTGCCAGTTTTATCAGTGAAGTCTTTTAACTAAAAGATGTCTAGTTTAAAGTATTAAAATTGTTCTAGATCTCACTCTGAAGTCAGGATGGCATCACTATCATGTTTATAGAACGTGGACTCAATCAAGAATCATCCCATTAAATGTCGACCCGTGTAAATACACTAAAGGGAAATTCTTTCTGTTAACACCTTCTGTTGCTCAGACTTTTATTGTCGTTTACGGTTAGACTGGAACAGTAAATGCTAAATCTCACAGGATCTCTCAAAAGGCAAAATCAAAATTTAAATACAACGTCATCAGTATCAGAAACTAAGGAAAGTCTTTATTCTTTTAACAATACTTCTAAAGTAGCATGTTGTCTACCTGTATGAACATTGCAGTTCTCTGTTGACAGTGATGGTTAATTGAAAATACGGACCACAATTCTAACATTCCTACTATGAAAAACATGACTTTCTAGAATGGAATTATAACTGATGACATGAATTTAGCTGAAGTATTAATTTTCCCACTTCCTGGCATACAGTTCAAGTCTATTTTAAGTATATATACATCTATATACTCAAGGATCTAGCTAGTCAACTGATTATCCTCCTATACCAAACAACAACAAAAAGATAACTGTCAACAACAACAAAAAACCTTGAATATATATAAATTTAACTCTTATGAATCTGTGAGGTGCGACTGAAAACTCTAATATTTTTCTAGAGGGCAGGGGGATACAACACATTGTTGTGACTAGAGTCATTAAATTAGTTTTCAGCTTTTTGGCTTTTTTTTTTTTGTTGTTAAGAGCAGCTGGATCTGCAGATATGTTTTCTTAATATCTGAATTTTGTACATATAATTCCAGAAATGCAATGCAGATTTATAGGGTTTTATTATTAGAGTGGGAGGTTTACAAAAAACAAGTAGAAGAAAATGGTTTTATGTTTTGGGAGGAGCTCTTAGACAATTTTAACTTGTCTGTATATGAGATTACTCTAGAAGCCTAGATCATTTTCACTCACCTTTCAGGTTAAGAAGAGTGTCATCGTATGCCATCATCACCTGGAGGCAGGGCTACCAAATTTCTCTTGAGTTTCCAAGAGGAAATAACCCAAGCTGCTGGGTGAGCAAGCAATAGGAAAGGAAAATACTTTGTGAAACCGAAAGATTAAAATAAATCAATAAATTAAAGAATTAGCTGTTTAAGCAAAATAGAAAACTATACCTTGAATCTCGTGCATGTAATTAAGCCATTATTTTACAACTCTCTAACAATTAAAAAATTGTTTTGCTTCGCTGGCCACTGCAAATTTTGTGACGTGAGTCAGTGCAAAGGCAATGTGTGTTTTAGAGCTGCAGCCTAAACATGGTTTTCTTGTTTGTTTGTTTTTAAACTACTAACATTAACTTCAGGATTATTTTTTTTTTCCTCCTCTCTGTATTGCCTACCTGCCCGACTGCCCTGAAGATTTTGCTTGACCAGGCAGATCTTCACTAACTGGAGATATTATGTCAAACTGTATAGGAGTGTCAGGGGCAACAAGTGAATCCAAGGAAAGTGCCGATAAAGCTGCTGATTCGGATCCCAGTGACCCTGTGCTGCTAGTCCGAGCTGCAGGAGGACGAGATTGTCTAAAACAAAACAGAAAAATCAAAATGAAGATATCTTCGTTTCAGGTTGGTTGACAATAAATTTAACCATATGGGAGACCAACGCAATATTCCAAAACGGGGATGTAAAACAAAACAAAAACTAAAAATCTGAAGATGATCAAGGTATAGTAAATAAAAATGGAATCTAAGTTCCTAGTCAAATTTAAGTCACTACTTTCATTAATAATTGCATCAGACCGTATTATACTTAATGTATGATTATATATTGATATTAAAGCAATCTGAGGAATGGCTTCCAGGGAGTTGGACACATTAAGAAAAATCTCATTGTGAATTCACAGAACAAACCAGACATAGGATGCAGGCAACACAACAGTCTAGTCAGCTGGAAATCTGGATTACTTGTAACAGTGGATGCTAAACAATGCTAAAAAGGTGAGTACAAGAATTTTTCCTCTAGCCTACCAAAGATTTAGTTCTGCAAACAGAAAGTTCTGTTGTTTGTTCGGGCTATGTTTTTCCTGGAATTTTATCCAGGATTCTCTTTGTAGATGTGCTCTTCAAGTGACCTGTAGCATTAACTTACACAGTTGGCCGCATGCTCTCATGCCTCTGCTGAAAGGAAGGAGATGGAGTAACAGCCTCCAGAGCTGACTGATTTACACGTGCAGCAATTTCCTGCAACAGAGAGATGGGGGGGGAGAGATGTAAAAAAATTATACCAAATATAAAACTCACATATTTTTAGTGTTTTCTATAGAAACATTTAGATGAAGGACATAATGGACTGTAAGCTTTCATACCATGGAAAGCTTATAATTAGACATGTAGGAAGTACTCAATTCTATGCTATCCAATTAGATTCAATTTATCTCTTTTAATTTTGTGCTTATCTACATCTTAACATATCACTGATATCATAAACTTTAGTAAAGTTACCTCAGGGTTTTCACTTAGATATATCTGTTTAGATATGTTGTTTATGGTGCATATCCACTGAAAGAGAGAGAAAAGAAAAGAAAAAAAAAATTATTTTTCACAGTATTTTAACAAACTTGATTAATACCAGAATTGGCTAGGTTCAGCATTTTTTCCACTTTAGGGAGCCAAACAAGTATTCTGCACACCAGCTTGTCATTAAATTCGCTATCTGTGTACTGTACCTTACAATACCACATTTTACTTGAAAAAAATTACTAGTCACACTAAAGATCAAGACTAAAGCAAGCTTAAATCATGACTCTAAGGAATTTAAAAAAAACCCAACCAGGATTCTTTGTATTCCATTATTCTGTGACTGCAGATGACATTGTTTCCTTAAGCCTTTATAAAGAATCTATCTGCCTTTTGTGGAATTTGCCCATTTCTTGCATATGTAAGCCAGAATCTGTTTTCTCCCTGTGCTGCGGAAAATCACCTGCTCCTGCTCCTTGCTTTTCAACTTTTTTTCCGAAGGACAAAACTAACTGCATTATGTATACTGCTGGTGCTGCTGCACTGAACCCCAGCTTATTGTTAGGGTTGTCTATCAGTTGTATCTAAAAGACAGCACAGCACCTGCAGCCCAGAAAATCACACATCTGAGCTGCTGAAGCTGACTATAAACTCCCTTCCTCCAGTGAGGCATCTGAGGGCAAACGGTTCAGAGTTAGGCTATTAGACAACTTCAACAGATCAAACGAACCTGACACAGAAAAGCTAAAAATCTCAGAAATAGCATAAAAGGTCATTTTATATCAATGTAACATGGAACATTGCAGAGGAATTTGAATGCAGGCTGAAAGTACCATATGTTATATATTTCCTTATCCAACTGATTGTCCAAACATATTTTAAATCAACAGTGCTTTTAAAACATTTTCTTTCCCATGCCACCCCTTACTGAGACATCTATATGGAATAATAATGCAAACAGACACACATTTTTAATTAACAAATACTTTATATCACTTACTACATCTGTTCCTTTGTTTCTGGACAAATCTGACTATTTATAGACTATGAATGTACTGAATCTGTAAGTTTGGCCCATCTTTGCAAGCCTTTGTAAGCTGTAAAAGGCTGTCCAAATAAAATGTAAATTCTAATAACTAGAACCTTCTTTGTTCGACCAGTACAAGCTATTAGTTGCAAAAAGTCTAGAGAAATTTTTTATTTTCACCTCTAGAGAGCGCTAAATAAAGTAGGGAAAAGATATCCCTGGTGGTCTGGTAGCTTTTTTCCATTTCCTTTTTGCATCAATATTTGCTATAACAGAAGTTTGCTACCTAGTGTTTGAATACTGACATTTCTCAGCTGGTATTCACCCATTGCATGGGCCAGTAAATCTGCATCACCAGACTTAGCAGCTATTTGGAAACAGGGACCACAAGCAGCTTTGAAAGCAGTCCAAAAGCAAATTATTTCACATTTCTTGATTCAACTTGTTCATGAAGTATAGTTGTGTTTCCCATAATGCAATCAGGGGCAAACCCCCAGTTTTTCCTCATCTCTCAACTGCCTGTATCATTATCTGTGTCCTAACCTAAGAATTCCTCTAGCTTCCATTCCTGACAAGCAGGTAGGAAGAAGGAAGGTTAGGACAGAAGGAACGAGAAGAAAGAGAAGCAGCATTTCTCAAGATTCCATTACTGCTAGCTATTCTGATGAAGAAAGAAAAATCCCACATCATCTTTTTCCCTTTCTTTCTTCCGTAATACTGAAAAGGACTTGGTGGTGATCATAACTGCATTTTTTTCTCTACAATTTAAAAACAGTAATATTTTGGCAGAATTCTTGAAACCTATCGTTATGGATAGAACGAGTTAAAAGTTCACCGCTCACTACCTAGAGAACATAAAATGAGCATTCCAACTATTCTAATAAACGTATTCCTTCTGCACAACAGAAAATCATTGCGCTCCATGCAAACCTCCTATAAAAGCTTACCTCTTCATAATCTTTTTTACTCTCTGCCTGTAGGATTGAAGACCTGAAAGATGAAAATAGAGAAGACAATTTTGTCTATTTGAAATGTCTCACAAATACATTCAGACAAGAAACTCCATTTTCATGTTTGTATGCTGCAAAACAAATTAAGAAAGGCTGAAGATTCCATATATGTGCTGAGTGCAGTCAACATTTAAGGGAAGGCAGGGGGGCCGGGCAAGTGGCACAGAATCACAGAATCATTCAGGTTGTAAAAGACCCCTGGGATCACCGAGTCCAACCATCAGCCCTACTCTACAAAGTTCTCCCCTACACCATATCCCCCAACATCTCATCTAAACGACCCTTAAACATATCCAGGGATGGTGACTCCACCCCATCCCTGGGCAGCCTATTCCACTGTCTGACCACTCTTCCTACATTTGCATTTCAACTGAAAATAGAAAAAGAACAAAATTCTAATTGTGCCCATGTAATACTTAAGCACTCACAAAATGCAGTAATACACGTAAACTAATTATGATAATTTTATTCTGAAATACTATTCAGCTATGTTACAGAGCTTATAAACAAAAACTCAGACATTACAAAGTTAAAAATACATCCCAGACTTGGCTTCTAAATACCCCCAAAATCTATCAAGCTACAATCTGGCCAAAGGTGGACCATCTTTCTTTTCTTAATTAGCAAGTCCAGTATTACCTACGATAACAGTAATGTAAGAATACTTACTTTTTGCCATCAAAAGATGTTATCTGAAAACAGTACCGTCTGTCTTCACAGTCCACAGCCATTACAGAACAATTGTCTATATCCATGACAAGTCCCCCAGCTACATCACCTCTTGCCTGGCTCATCAGATTTCCACCTTGAGTGAAGTAAAACTGTCTCTCCCAACTGGAAGACACCAGCCCTGTCTTACTAAAAGATAAAGAGGTTCTTAGTTAGTAGATTAAGAGTTCAGCTGAGCTGAAAGTCACTGGAACAAACCATCTAGCACTAAAGAGAACTTTTTTTCCCCATTAGTGTTTTAGGTTAGCTTTACAGCTAAATTAGTCTCTTTACATCCATTATTTTTTTCCATGCTAAACCTATTAATAGGCAAAGAATACATAAAACAGTAATAATTGTATTCTTAAATTATGTGCAACAATTTAGAATGAAAAGGCATCAGTTTTGATGATCAGGTTTTATGGTATTGCTTTACACAACATGCATCTTCAAGTGATATGCATTATCAATATAGTTGATAACACCTCTGAACTCCACACTTATATTGTTAAGACTAAGTTTTAAAAAACTTTGTGCTAAGAATTAGCTTAGTCATGTAAGATACCTGAACTTTCAAGCATTTTGTACCATTCTGAAAGATTTCCAAAATTTTGCTTAGAGCATGTTGTTTTTTAGTGGTGTAAGTTGGGGTTTTTTTTCCCAGAACTACAGAAGAGGAACAATATGAAACCAAAAATCAGTAACACTTGCAGTTTGGCCTGTAGCAGTATTAACTGCTGCAACTGTGTTCTACTCCAGAAATTCATTCAGCAAGTATGTTACTCTAACTGTTGGTGTAAAAGTAATCTACAGTTTTTAAAAAATTCCTTTGAGCTTATTATATAATTTACAGAAAAAACTCTTGAGTATTACAGCATTTTTAGTAACTATAAAAATGAGCTGCTAGACTTTAGTACAGCTACCTCCAGTGGACAAAAGACTACCTCAGGAAATTGAGAAGGCCATTCAAAGTTACTTCGATTAACAGAGGATGTTTTGCCATGTATATCACAAGCTTGTCATATTTTATTAGTAATTTGAATCTCAGAGGTTTAACAGATACTTACAGAACAATCCTGATAGCTGCAATCTTGCTGTTTTCCAATTACAATCAAGTGAAATTGCACTCAAACTTTTTCATTTTGATGTGAAAATTCAGGTAAAATTAGACTGAAATCAGAATAATGCTTTGCACCTGAATGACACTATGTCAGTGTAACAGTGAAAATAATATTAAGTGAAGGAGTCAAAGAATGAAACAGAACAGCTCCTGTGTGACTTACTGAACTAAGTAAACTGTAAAATCAGCATAGCTAACTTAAAAAAGAATTGCATACTTTTTTTAGCTTTCCTTTCCCAAAATTAAATACTCTGGAATTTTTAAGTATCAAGTTAGTCTTACTTTCTTGCATTGAGATAGCCAGCTTTCCGTGTTAGATTTCTATGGACAGGAAATTTCATAGGATCAGGATCAGGCAAATACAGTGGATCACTAGCTACTTCCAAGTCCTCAATAGTTTGTTGCATGTTTTCTACTTCACACTCCATTTCCCTGCGAACACTAAGGTAAATAATGTGTTAGTAACAAAGATAACTTATTAATTAGTAGAAACATGAAAAATAATTGTCTTGATAATAGTTCAAAATGGCAACAAAAACAACTTACTTCTGTACACTTGTGCCAATATTGGTCAAAAATTCTTCCAATTGCTCAGTAAGATTTTCTGAACCCATTTTAAAAAAACTTATCTTTCAAAAAAAAAAAAAAAGAGGAGGAAAAGGGAGAATTTAGTCATTAATAAAACTACATTAACAATTAACAAATGAAACCATAGGAGGCTAAAGTTTTTCAGAGAAATCTTTCATCCCTCACTCCCACCAAAGCCTCTCAGTAAAGGCATGTTTTTGTCTGCAAGTGGAAGCTGATGCTGACATTAAAGTGGGATTTCATTGTGTCAAGAGAATGTGCAGAGTCACCTGGAGGAAATATAGAAATATGCAGAGAGTGCCCTGCAGAAGAAAAAGATCTGATCTTTCAGTGATGCCAAAGTCTCTCTAAACTTTTTCAAGCTCACCAGTCTACTAACTGTTGTGTCAGGGGTGGGGTTATTTGGTGGGGGCATAGGGGAGGAAAAACCTATGAGGACTTGTCCAGAACCATCCTCTAACTGTGGACCCTGCCAAGGAGACCTGACAGTATTTATCTTAAATAAAGTGTGCTCCATATTGGTCCAGAAAAACTGCCATCTAAATTGAGTTTAGCCATATGAAATCTCAGACAGCGAGTCACAGGGCATGGCCCTGCCCTTCCCATTCTTAATTCAGCAAAAACCTGCACCTGAACATGTTGCACTATCTACTTCGCAACAGAAAACATTCAGAGCTCTTAAATAGAAGCTGCAAAGTTTCAAAAAGAAGTAAGAGTTTTTCTTGGACTTGGGAAGCTTACAGACAGTATGTAGAAGTTAATTTCTACTCAGGACACTGTGGCAGTGCCAAATGCTCGAGTCTGACTTTTTTTAGAAAAAAACATACTGATGACATATTTCTGAAAATACAAATGAAGTCTCTACAAAGAACTTTTTCCTAACTGTATTTTCTATTGCACCCATCCTCAAATAAACCAATCATAAACTCCTTTATATTAAACAAAATCAAGACTGAATGATTTTTAGCAACCCTTGGCTGAAAACAGTAGTGCTATGACTTTGCTGATTATCTCACCTCAGAATACCTGCCACAGGAGACAATTTAACTGTCTCCATGTTACTTTCTAAGAAGCTACACTTCCATGTGGGCTTGCATGCATGAAAGTTTTCATCAGCTATTCCCATTAGTGATCAAGTGGAAAAAAAGTACCCAGCAATGAAAATTTAGGCACTGCATTAAATTTAGCCATCTGAGTTTTGGGGTAGAATTTTATATTTGCCACCCAGACTTTCCTAAAAGATTCTCCAATGGGATTGAGGGTACATCATGATGAGATTCATGTACTGAGTGGGCAATGCCTAGTGCTAGCTAATGACACTGGTAATGGCAGCAGCTATGACAGCTACAGGGATGAGGATGGGATATTTCTTCTTCACCATTTGCTTCCTTGGATTGCAAAAGAGGGCTTACAATGGATTTCAGTACATGAAGTACTTTTACATCTTCTTTCAGACTACAGCTTTCAGAATCTGAAATTACCTGAGCTTGCATGTATCCTAGCAAGGGTTCTAGCATAGCAATTTTCTTTTTGTACTGAAGAGTATTTAATGCACAGAAATAATGCATCATAGTCTGATGCTGTTTTTTCCTTGAAGTATACACATCTTCTGTAACTTCAGCCTTGATCTAAAGAGAAACAGACAGGAGGAAGGAGGAAAAGGAATGTTTGAGACTTGGTATTCATCACATGCCTTCTGGACAGCTTTATAGTCAGCATGAAAAACACAACACAGTAACGTTCTCTACACTATCATCAGCAATCACATATTTTACCCTACAATTTCACTTCTCTAACTTATACATGAGAGATACATAAAAAACAACTACAACATTCTTTTCTCCCTGGAAAGTGCAGATATTTCTTTACAAAAATAAACTGAATATAGTATCACAATCTTAATCATAGAACATTTTCAGTACAAAAGAGGCATTTGTTGGGCAAGCCTGCTTTTCTGTTCTGAAGCAAACTGTCTATGGTGTTAAAACATAAACTATCAAACTTCAGGTAGAACCTGCCATACATTGTCTTCCATCATAAATTCATAGATTAAAAGTATTTCTTATCTCCTCTAAAAATATTTATATTAAGTTTTTTTTTTTACAAACCTTTTCATTTTCCCTTCTTTTTGACAACCGACTGTATCTGGTAATGGCAGCATCATGGTCTAAGCAATCAAGAGAGAATGTATAATCATTCTGATAAATTAATGACTTATGAAACAGAACAGAAAACCTTTTATATCACTGTGTGTTGCACAGCCAGCTGAATGCAAAGTTCTGTCATATTAAAACCTTTAAGAACTGTTCTTGCCTGTCTATAATTACTTCAGTACCACAAATACTTGGGCTGAAGAAAAATTCTAACCAGATGCAAATATGGCCAAATTGTTACAAATTTCCCTAAACATCTAATATTCTTCAAAGACAAACTTTTTATAAGTAGAGACAACTTTCCATGACTAAAACCTGTGTCTAATCTTTTTTTTTTTCTTCTAAAGCAATGAAGCAATTTGCATTGAGAGAAGCAGAATCATTACTTAATCTTTACTTAAATAATATGTTCTCTGTAGTAGAACTAGCTAAAAATAGTAACTTCTGGTAACAGGGAAGAGAACAATCAAATGAGTTTTAGGGAGGTAAAATTTGTTTATTAATCCAGTCCTGACTTTAAGAAGTGCGCTAGCACCTTACTATTTTTAGTAATTTTGGTAGCATTTAATAATTATATATACATTTTAAGTATTGTAAATAAGACTAATACTGCCAATTTGCCTTAACACTTCAGTATACAAATCAGGGATTTACAAGTGACCCAAGGCAAGCTGGGTGCTTAAGTATCACTGAAAAAAATTACATGTTAATTAGTCACTTTAAGCCTTGCAAATAACTTCACTAGTTTTCTGAGTAAATAATCTACAATAATACTGCCATCTTGTAATATCTGTAACATTAAGTATTTTACACTTACCATTGCTTGCAATTTGGAAAACTTCTTTTAGAGTTAATATCTCTACAAAACAACATATCACAATTTAAATAAGTTGTTATTAACATAACATTTATACATTAAGGGTTCTATTGCAATATTTCACTACTGAACAGTTGTAGGTCATACCTTGTACCATGCTGAGTTAAAAGCAGAGGCACTATGTGGCTAGGGAAGTCTGCTCCTACATAGGGCCCAAATATCATTTATGTGGCTGCTTGGCTTACCAAAAAAAGATATTGTAAGTTAAGGAGGAACTTCTTTACTTTGAAAGACATCGTCAATACAGATGCATCACCTACAGTTCTGGTCAGAGTTCTGGTCTGAGTTGGGGAAGTGGAAGCACAGGAGATGTGGAAGTATCATGGGATCAAAGGAAAGCCCCAAACACATTGTGATTCCTCCTACCTAAAATCAGTCATGTTCTAGATGGCTGTTTAGTCTCACTTTATCAGGGAGCAGAAAACAGCGCAATACTTAGCACCTGTTCTGATCTTCATTGTGGTTGTGTGTCATGTTACAACATCAACAGAGAGCTATGTTCAGCTTTATGGTCAAGCAAAGAGAAAAAAAAAAAACACATGGAAAAGCTTTACAGAAAGTGCCTGTGAAGCCCATAAAGTATGGCATCATTAAACACTACATCAGTTGGTGGTTAATAACTTCCCAGTAGGAAAATTCAATTTGCAATTATTGCTTCAGGGATGCTTCTTCAGGAAATATTAACTGGAGATTTCTCCAGGTTCTGAGGAGTAATACTAGCCTGAGATACTCATGTGCCCTTGGTCAGAGAGCATCTACTTAATCCATAACTTTGAAACAAACTATTGCCAAATAAGTATTTTTCAAGATTCATAAAGAGTAGAAGACTTGTGGAAGGGCTGTAATTTTTATTTCAATTTAGAATTAAGACATTTATATGTTAGGTAGAACCACTCTAGGATGTTCACATTAGGGATTTATGTTATTTTGGTTTAAACTGTTACCATTTATATTTGAAGCCCACGTGCCACACCAGCCTATTCACTTTAGCATCTTGAGTAAAATCTATCATAGTCAGAGACGTTATATATTATTCTAGACCAGGCAGAGTAAGACACAACTGTTACAAAAGAAACAAGTTGGAAGCATCTTATGCCTGCATGTAAGAAGTCACCTATGTTACCAGCAGTGTGGAAGAACCACCTTTCTAAACCTTAATAATATAACAAGTACTACAACTTTGGCACTTTGCCTTTTGAGTTTAGTCCAACCACTATATTGTCATGGTATTATCATATATACAAATGTTTCCTGAACATGAAAATTATATGAAATTATTCTTTCCTAATGTTTACAGTACCTGCGAAATTTTCATCTTGAATAGAAGTGCTTCCATAATATAAACAGTATTTTTGTTGGAACAGTAAGTGTTAAGTTCTTCAACTGTAATACTCACGAATAGAAATAACTTACATTTTTTAAAAAACTGGGAGATGCTTACTTTTGAGAGCTGAAAAATAAGTGGCGTATGCTATTTAGTGAAACAGCAGCCATGGAGATTAAATGCTGGGTTTTTTATTGCTGCTGTTGATAAAAACGGTATTTGTTAGAGCCCTCTACCTTTTAGTTCCCTTTCTTTAAACTGGGTAATAGGAAACATCATTGCATCTGCAAGTTGAGTTGAAAGTACTGCATGGCAAGAGCTGAGCTGTAAAAGACAAAAGAAAGAAGGAAATTTTAGGAAAACAGTGCTGAGACTAAATCAAATCAATATAGATTGACATCAATTTAATTCAAAGATGACACACACAACTCAAACATAATTTTGCACATTCATTTTTTTGCAACTACTCTTTTCTAGCTTCCTGATCTCATGACTAGCTTTCTAGAGAAACCTTTACCCCTACTTTTCAACTTTATTCCAAGTGGATCATGTCAGAAGATGGCCTCACACATTCTGATAACTAGTCAGTCTCACTCCAGCTACATCACAGCCCACCTTTCACAGGTTCCTGAGCTAGAACAAATGTGTTCTCATCCCAAAATACTGTTTAAGGAGAGGGATCACAGAAAAAGTCCTGATGCTAAGTTTCTTTTGTAAGAGTCAGTCTGTCTCTAATACAGACACCACAGTAGGTTCCTCTGTCAATCAGGCAATGCAAATACCCTCACGAAAAAAAGAGTGTCTAACTGCCATTCTGCAATATTTTATGGCTGTACCCACAGAAAGTTAAACTACATTCTGTCTCAACAATGTACCCTCATTTTGCTGAGTTGATTCTTTATCTTCAGGTCATGTAACTTTAATATATGCAGCAATATACAATTCAGTGTTACCTTATTGACAAAAGAAAGCCATTTCTGTACCTCCTATCTTAAAAGAGGCTGGAATAATTCAGCAAGTTAAAGTCTATAGATGACAACGTTAGCAAGGTAAGGGAAACAAATACAAGTACTTGCCTCATCTATCACTTTTGCAAATTGCTGTAGAGTGGAAGTCATAACTTCATCATCTCCCCCTAGTGGAAAACGCTAAAAGAAAATAAAAAGAGGCATGTTTGCAGGGTTTTCTGCCATTCACAAAACTGTATTAATCATGTCTATAAATGTATTAGGTATTCCATTACATTCAAACATTATACACTTAAGATATACTGAAGCACTTTATTGTCCTGGGAAGAAGGAATATTGGGGCCATGGGAGAAAGTAATAAACAATTCTCATTTTAAAAAATTAATTCAATTTTCAAAATATATTAATTCATTAATCTAATAATTTTACAAATTAATATATTTTATTATTTAAAAAAACAGGAAATATGCAGACTTGACATCTATTAAGATTTTAATCCAGCTTTGCAAGTTATTTTAAAATTATAAAAAATTAAGCAATATTTGGTGATTATCTTAAACTCCTAGCTCTTAAATTATGTGATTACTTGACATTTTCAAACAAGCCAAAGCAGTTTACTTCTGAAATGCCTCAATGGAGATTACTCAAAGTATGACCAAAATGATCACAATTGAAAAAGAAATAATCCAGTTAAAACATCATTTGTGTATTTTTAAGATAATCTCCTGACTGGGAAAAAAAGCAAAGGAGACCAATCGTTAAAATAATTTAAAAGGTCCAATGCTAATGTAATTATTATTTTAATTCACAGCAGCTATATATAAAACACTTGGAAATATTAAAAAACGCAGTTTCTTTATTAAAAATCTTGAGCACCTCCTTCCAGCTTGTTAGGTGTCCCCCTCCTTCTTCTCAATGAATGTAATAAAACCATAATTGAAATAAAGATATTTGGTGTATATTTCGATATCCGTAGCTGCTAACAAACATCCTGCCCTAACTGGTTCTTCTAAATTGAAGCTAGTTCTTTGCATTTTGATTTTGCAAATACTGTATTTTTGCCAGAAAATGGCAGAAACAGTGCAATTCATTAAAGAGCTGTGTCATTAAAATCAATTTGGTATTGTATCAACAATGTTAAAACAATTCAAATGGCAGTATTGCAGCTACTTATGAAAAAAAAAAAAAAAAGGCAGAAATAATTTAATGCCTGCTATAATTCAGAGAGTGCACAGACACCTTGGGCAGCATTTCCAGTCTGTCATTAGGAATATAAGTCTTTTTTTTTTTTTAAAAAAAAAAAAAAAAAAAAAAGACACTCTACATCTCCCTGTTTATCTCTTCCTAATGGGACTACTGTAGGTATGAATACTCCCTATTCTCATGGATCAGCACCACTGTATTTTTGATTCTATCTGCATTACACCTATTCATTCATAACAATTAGCAAAGAAAAAACAGTGTCATCTCACCCTTCTAGAGAGACTCACCCAACCAAAATAATTTGTAAATAGACATTTTCCAGTTTATCTCATTAGATGGAGAATGATGATAGGGACTGCTAGCCTCCTTAAAAGAAGCAACTTTTTGTTTTTAACATGCACCTCAGAAGAGAGATCCCAGCAGCACAGCTACAAAGAGGAAACCCTTCATAGTACAGGCTGCCAGAGGAGAAAGTTGGAGTCCACAATCCATGCTTTCAGAGATGAAATTATTCTCACAATAAGGGTAAATTATGGTTGTTAAATGAAGATTGATATGCAATCTCTCCTCTTTGTGACTAGTAAAATTAAAGCACTTAACAGGTTTATATACAAAAACAAGCCACCACGATGACCCTGAGCAACCCCCAGAACACTGATCCAAAAGTGAAATATTTCAGAACTTACTAATACTCATCATGGTAAGAGGAACTTCATTCTGTTTTAGATGGAAGAACTAATATGAAGACAGTGAATTCTTTTGGCAAAAATTCAAGCCACCAACCACAGCAATTTATTTTATCTGGACCAAACCTAAACATGTTCTACAGTGTGCTCTGGGAGATAAAAGACTACAAAAATACATAGTCCTGACCACATAAAGACAACAATGATTTACACAGTACCTGTTTCTCATATTCCTTCAGAAGTTTTGAAGTCAGATGAGTTGCTGCACTTAATTCATTCTGATTTAAAAAAAAAAAATAACAAACAAAACACAAACCCAAGCTTGTTACTTTTTGATTTAAATTAATGTTTAAAAAAATCACATTTAGACAGGAAACTATTACAGACGTGGAACTTAAAATGTGACTTTTCAGAAAACCTAAGCATCCTGCCCTTTCATTTCTCTAACATTGCTGAGTTACAGGTAATCAGTTTTTACAAATACCAAGTTCACAGCCTGTACTATGTGCACTGATTTCTGTATTTTTCATGTTATGCAGTGCATATTTACATTTAATTATTTCAAATCAGCTGCCCTAGTTACTGAGTATTAGGAATTTGTAATCTGTACAAGAAAGAAAAGATTACAATGAACCTCAGTACTACCGGGTTACAAACTGTTCTGTACATGTACACAGACGTGTCCTAATTAGCAGATCATGGTATGGAATAACTTCCATCTTTCATGATGCAGTTGAAGGAGAAAGCACAGAAATGAAAAGCTAAATAGGCAATAAAGTAAAGCTACATAGCAACAAACCTACAATAAACACACTAGTCATTACAGTAAAAACAACAGTAAAATAAAAAATATGAAAAGCATGAGTAATAAATCAGTAAAAAAGTCAAAGAGTTCAAGTACATACAAATTAAAAATACAGCCATAAACTCAATTTTCAGAAAAAAACACACAAAACAAGATTCTGGCTTTGGCATAAAAGTGTGGTTACTTATAGATGATAAGTGAAACATGAATATATTGTGGGTAAAAAAATTATCTCCCACTTGGTACATACAAAGGTCATAACGAGAAACATTTTAGAAACATTTGGGAAATACAATAGAACTCCTAGAAGACAAGAAAGTATTTTTACTTGTCATAGGAAATTCTGTTGCAAAAGAAAGCAGAAGAATTTAGTCTTTACCACTCCCTAACATATAGAAAAACAATCATTTCTTAGTTTCACTTCCACATTTAAAGAATGTAGAAGTTTAAAAAAAATATTACTTATAAGAAATTTTTAAAAAGCAAGAGACATTAAATGTGGTTCAAAAGCTTTACAATGCATTCAAAAATTTCATTAACATTACCTGTGCATCATATATTCTGTGCATGGCTTGAAATAACTGATTGATGTAATTGGAAATTGCAGCAGCATCTTCTTCAAATACTCCTAGCAAAGACCGGGTCTATAAAAAATGAAACAGCCAAAACACTAACATGTCAACTTAGAAAAACAGTATTTAAATGTAACAATTTCAAAATTAAACAGCATTGTTTCAGGTTTCATTACTGAAAAGTTTATAAACCTTCCAATACTGTTTACAGGAATGGTATCTGTTGCATGCCAGAGAATCTTAATTAAATACAAGTACATTTTCAGGAAGGAAAGGACCAAGGGAGACGGCTAAGTGTATAAAAAAGTTGAAACTGTGGGCAAGTACTGGACTCACTATGGTACATCCCCAAGAAAAAGGATATAGATGACTAACATTAAATAGCATGCCAGGTATACACATTTCTTATGCAGTGAGATCAAAACACCAGGCTGTGGCTTTCTGATAGTATCCACCCTGCACAAAGATAGCTGCTGGCTGTGCTTGGACCTGTAATTCACCAGTGCAGTCACAGTCAATTCTGTAATCAAAAGGCTGAGGAACTAAAAGCTAAACCAATCCAAACCAGTACAACCTATATTCTGTATTTTAAGATCAACAGGTTTCTCCCCCTCACCACTTATAGTGAAAGGGAGCAAAAACATCCGTCCTTTTGTCCTTACCTCAACTTGTCAGTTGGTCTGTTCCTTAGCTGGTGTCACCCACAAGCTTGATGACTATGTGTCCTACTGCACTGCCTGCATCACTGATGAAGGTGCTTAACAGTATCCACCCGAAAATCAACCTCTTTATCACTGTCCACCTATTAGCCTTAAAAACACTGATCACTACTCTTTAAGCCCAACTATCCAGCCAGTTTTTCCACTCGGGTCACAATCTCCAGCCAGAAGAATGTTACCTGAAACCGTGTCAGAATTCTTGCTTAAGTCAAGGTAAATGACATCCACTGCTCTTCCCTATGATGAAATGACTGGCTCTGGATGAGAAGGCAATCAGGTTGCTCAAGCATAATTTGCCCTTAAGCTTAAATGAGATGCTGACTCAGTTCTTTAATCCTTTTTTGCACTTGGAAGTAATGTTACTCCTTAACAGAAGGATACAGAACAGGTTCCTTCCACCAAAACAAAACTCCAAAAGGTGGAAGAGCAGAGAACGTACCTGTAACTCCACAGACTACATCTGCTTTTCCTGATAGAAAATACTGGTTGGGATGTTTGGATGTAGAAACAGGAGTATTGCTTGCAAGACCCACAAAATAAACCCTTTCACTCTAGAAATGTTTTAGCAAGATGACTGTGCTTTCTTTTTAGGTTAACACTATAATTAATGTCCAGACAGAAACTCGAAAGAATTCTAAGTATGTAACTGTTTTTCCTGAAAAATTATGATTGTTAAACACTTGAAATTGGAAATTCTTTTTCTTAGTCTTTCCTACGCAAAATAACTGTAGTTTCCTCAAAGAGGAAGGGAAGGAACTTATGGGACCTAGGAAAAGAATGAAAGACTGACACACGAAGTCTGGACATCGGGAAAATCTCTCTGATGAGATTAGTGAAGAACACTGCATCGCCCTGCATATGAATTGTGGGAGTTTTATTATCAGGAATTCTTGCTATGTCAAAGGCTTGTCTTGAACTGACTTAGACTTTAGACCATCTCCACTTGAACCATGGAGGTCTTTTTCAGCTGCTTTTCTGTTTTTCTGCTTTTAATGATAATCAACTATTACATATTAAACCTGTACAAAGTGTATTATTTGACCATTTCTTTGGACATGAAAATCTTTTATCTAACTTGAATTAGATGCCTGGCTGTCTCACAAATACTGTCATACCATATAATATCTACAGGATAGTTAAACATAAAAAAAGATATAATCAAACAGCATCAACACAATAAATCACTTTAATGGTGGTTCTAGTTTATAAAGCAACTGGAAAAGAGGGGTAGAGAAGGAAAGAGGTAGAGAACTCAAAACGTTTGCCAGGTATGGCAACATGTTGTGTCACCTTAATAGCTGTGACTCTCCCATTAAAGGAGACATACATGAAGGAATGCAAAAGAAGAAATTACATAGTACCATAACCACTGAATTATATACTCATGACCTTAAACCTAAACATCAATAAAACTGAACATAAATAAACCTGAACTTGCAATTTTAAAGGAGTATCATGTAAAGTGTCAGGATTATGCCTACTTTTTAAAACTGTAGAACAAAATCATTTCTGTTTTATTGTAAAAATACCAGTTACTGACATCCAAACTTCAAACTGACATTGTATGATACTGATGGAAAGAAAATAACCTGAAACTGCAAACAGGTTATGGCAGACTATTGCTTAGCAAAAAATTAGAGGAATTGTTTACTCAGGTTTCTAGTAAAGTTTTGCATCATTCTGCATGTTCTTTAAGATGCTTTCAACCCATTTATATGAGCAGGTACACTGGAAACTACCAGTGGTAAACTGCACAAAGAAACCACCTAGTTAGAAGTCAGTGAACTGTAAAGCATTATATGTCATCATATGTATGGTAATGTCAGTGACATAGAGCCTATACTATCAAGTCTCCTGGCTTTTTTATTATGCAATGCTTCAGAAATGCAAATAAGTCTGAGCAGAAACTCTCTCTATTTTAACGCACATAGTGTTTAAATGTATGTCCTAAGTTAACATTTAAATTGCACTGCTTTGCGTAGCAAAAGACAATGTAAACTTGTCGTTTGGTTTACATCTAAAAACACAGTGGTTAGATTTTAATCCTGAGAAAAGAGGAAATGAATGGGTTTTGCCATTTTAGAAAAGCCTTTCCCTCCGTCAGATGCAGAGTAAATTTGATGTTTAGATACCTAAAGTTAGTGTCTGAAACATGACATTGAAGTTAGTGTCTAAAGGTGCAAAACTCCAGTCCGTAGTTCAGCACTAATCAACAACCTAGGCTGATGATCTTTTCTAATACTACAGCATGAACACATCAATCACAAAGGCATGACAACTCCTAAAGAAAGCAAGGTTTCTTGTTTTCTTCAAGCAACATTTGTTGCCATTTTCATTGCACTGATTTCAAAATAACAAAAATTAACTAATAGAAGACTATAGAGTCCTTGTTATGTTCTTCTAAGAGGTGGCTAGCCAGAATTCACCTGAAATATTAGGTTGACTGGAATATGTAAAATTTTGAACCTAAAACAGAAGAAGATATTGGCAAATCTAATAGTTTAAGCACATCAAACTCATCAGGCTAAATTAAGCTTTGCTAGTCTGTATCACAAATAACCTTAACTGCAAGATTCTGGAATTTATAATTATGTTCCAATATGTAACTTCTTTGCATGTGCTTCCCAAATGACATTCCAGTCTTAACTGCTTGTGAAAAAAACCCTACATCCCACTTTTTAGGGGTTCTAAATTTATCTTACATTTGACATTTCCTATAAAGTTCTGACTTCTGTATACTGAGAACTGACCTTCAAGAGATAATTTTGTTAAATTACTATAACATTTTTTTTTTCCCCTCTTCATGAGAGTATATCAGCTTTAGTCTCTGGCCCAGAGGCTACACTACAGGCTAGCCCTCATCTAACATCTAGTATTTGAGCTACATGGGCCACTGTCATTCACAAAGCAATGATACACTTTCTGTACCGCCTTTCTCTGTTGCCTTTTCTAAATCGTCCCTCCACTCGATGTATATTTGTTAAAATGTCTGTCATTTGGGGTGTTAAAATTCCCTATTACACAAGTGAAACTTTCTCTTCCTATGGTTGAAGTATCAAAACGACCAATGCATATATTATTACAATATAGGAAGCCTTGCTTGTCTTCCCAGACAATGCAGCAAAACAAGGATCTTAAGTCAAAAGGCTGTAATAAAAGAAAATACATTGTAAACTCTCTTTTTTTTTTCTTCTCATCTAGGAAGAACAGTACAAAGTACTTGCACTGGTTTTCTCTTGCTGGCAACAACCACAGCAATTGAATAAAGCACTTCCTGCTTAATGGTAGTATGAAATGCCAATGCAATACATGGCATCCCTGACAAAGGTCAAGCAGCAGAAATGGAAGTGAAGACACCAGAGCAATTAAAGGCCTCTCAGCACCATGAGTTTCCCACCTACTCACAGCATTAACAACCGCCACGATAACCGCATCCACTATCTACTTTTCATACGCACCTATTAAACCTTAATGCGTTTACAGTAAAAAACAAAGATAAGAAGAATAGACTTGAGAAGTAAAGACGGGTTTTGTCAGCACGAGGTCTCCAAAATAAACCATGAAGGTAAACGCGGGGGTGGGGCAGTGAGGGAGCCAATGCACGCTGAAGCTCAGTACCTCTGGAAAATCGCTACCGAGCTCGCCGCTGTGCAAACAGCTCCCCAGCCCGCAGGACCCCCGGGAGGAAGCGGTGGTGCGAACGGGAAGAACGTGCCGCAGAGACCGGGGCGAGACCTCGCAGGGGGCACTGCCCAAGCTGACAGCCCGAGAGCCGCCGCTCCTGGCGCCGAACCCTCGGGTCAGCCGCGTCCTCCGCCCCTCCTTCGTCCCTCCCTGCCCCTCGGTGCCAACGGCGCCTGTCGGCGGGCAGATCGGCTCCCGCCTCTCGGGAGAGCGCCCCTCGCCCGCTGCGGGGGCAGCAAGGGGCCTTTCCACGCCGAGGTGCCAGGGGCAGGTGGTGGTTGCCAAGCGACGCTGCTGGGAAAAAAACAAGCAAAGTTTTTTTTTTTTGTTTTCTGTTTGCGTTTGCAGTGACATGCTTCGTGTTACACATACTGATACGTCCTCCCAGCCCTGCTGGTTGTTCTTCTGGATGCTGCTGCCTTCTCAGAACTGACCCTTAACTTGGGGGCAAGGCCACAGTGGGACTAACGCTGTTGTGTCCCTGTCGTGATGGAAGCATCTTCTGCACTCTTTTGATGTTACCTGGAGCATCCCTTCACAGAAGTCTCCTTTTATCCCTGTCATGTCTTTCTCCACCATCTACCAGGGCTTTTATCAAAAAAGTACTTATATGCCTAACTACCCAGTATTTTTTGTTACCAAGTGACAGCTTCAGCTGAGGACCTGGTGTATCTGCTTGTGTCTTTAAAAAAAAACAAAACCATTGCTGTCCACAATTTTTCACCCTTCAGAAGCAGGAGTGTAATGAGTTCTAACAGACTCTCTACTTTCTTAGTCTGGATAAACTTGGTGCAACAGGTTGGTGGCCGATTTTAAATGTTTAAAGCTACTGTGAGGGTGTGCTGGAATTGAACCGGATCATGGTGCACTGTTTAAAAAAGAGCATATTCTTGAATTGCCCTCTGTGATTAGTATGCTTTGACCAAAGTTGTACTTTATTCCTGCAGGTTAAGCAATTCATATTTCAGGTCTCTTAGGAGGTCTTGAGTATGTACAAATTGCTCATCAAGAATATCCGTCTAAATTTCCATTAATTTAAAAACAAAATTTACTGTCTGTCAAACAAGAGGCCACATAAAATTCTCACTCTTAAAACTAACAAAAGCAAAACCAAATTGTACATCATACTTGAATTTGCAGACTGGTTCAACTCTGAAATTACTTGATGATATTTCATTTCCGTGTTTTAATAGATGATTGGTAACTTTTTAGATACATTTATTATTACAGTTTAGGGAAACAAAAGAAAAAAATAAGCAGCTGTTCTCTTGCTGGTTTTGCCTTTTTTGGGCCAGGTGAACTTTTAAAAGCAGATAAAGGAACAGGCTGGTATTAAATTACAAACAATTAAAGATTTTTGAGGTGGGGTGTTTGTTTTGGAGGGGGGGGGTGTTCCTAGAGTATGGTGAGCTGGTGACTCATCTGACTGAAGCAAGTCACACCATTTCTCTCTTTCACTGTCATATGACAGTAATAATCTAGTTATTTTACAAGGTTTTTTAAGGACTAAGTCTTGCAGCTGTAATTATTATGACAACACTAGCATTGGTTCACGACCTATGTATATGTGCATAGCTTTCAGGTTTTGAGATCAGCTAACTTGTGACTAAGTTTTACAGCGGTCTTCTGCAAGAAATACTCTCTGTTTTGTACTATAAGATTTATTTCCCTAGCAGAATTTAGAAAGTTGCTAACTTTAAACAGAATTGGTTTTAGTTAGCTTTGTATATTTAGAGGTATAAGAGACTGAGGAAAAAACCCGCATTTCTCTACCTGCTACAAATAGAGAACAGCTCTTTGAAAATTAAATGCTTTGTAGAAGAAAAAACCAAAACACTAACAAACATATCTTTAAAATGTATAAATGTGCTTTGATATCTCAGCTGGCATGTAGCATAAAAATGTGTCTTGTTTCTGTTGATCTTAGTGATTCAGTTTAATGATTCAGTTTGGTTTAGTAGCAAGAGGTGGAGGGCCTTTCTAATAATTTTGTAGTATACCAGGGCTTCTTTGAAAATGAGTAGTCAGCTTTTTTAATAGACCTCTTATGTTGAAGCACTCTGTAAAGTATTACTAGTCTCCCTCTTACCTTTTGTGTATGTTTCTTATAATGTCACAAGATATCCAAAAGTTTTATCTGAGATACAAATGTGACAGCAACAGATGAGAGATGATAGTAACGAATTGAAGAATTCCTCTGAACCCTCTAATAAGTGTGGTTTTTAAGTTACAAATTTTTTTGGCATTGCAGGCTTTTTGTTTGTGTGTGATTTTTTTTTTTTTTTTTTTTTTTTTTTTTTTTTGTGGAGTACATT